AATGTGGTCAAAACTCAAGTTAGCTGCTTTGATACTTAATCATAGAAAAAAGGTATGTATTCTAATACTAAAAAGAAAAACTGTGTTGAAGTTATGGTATTTGGTGTCCAAACAAGAGATTTTCAAGGGTAGTGTTAACTATATGAGATTTTTTTCATTATGTGCTGATTTTAAAACCTGTCCCCTCCGTGAGATGCAACTTCATTGCAATTTACTTGTTGTAGTATACAGTTATTTTTTCTGATATCATTAAGTATTCTTTGAAGACATTTTGAATAACTGCAATGCAGTCCATCATATGGATGTGCCATATCTACTTTAATCAATCAACTATTTTTAGACGTTTGGTTCATTTCCATTGTATCGCTATAAGTAAGGCTATGACAGCTATTGCGCCTGAGGTATGATGTGATGATCAGCCATTATTTTCACACATGTACTTACTGCTGTTATAATGTCTTTCTTTCAGGTATTTTTTTAACACTTTTATGCTGGTAAGATATAGAAGGGAGAGGAATATGACTTCACAATAACCAACTGGGAATTGCTTTCAATGAAAGAGGAGGCAATGAAGCATATATTTTAAATACAATCTTCGGTATTTTTTGGAGACTTCTTGCCATGACACCTCCAGTTCAGAGGGTTGGATTGGCACTTAGTCCTGTACACCAGTTCAAGGAGTATATTTGTTGTGGCTTTTTTCAAAAATAATTTTTTTATTGAAGTATAAGTCAGTTTACAATGTTGTGTTAATTTCTGGTGTACAGTATAGTGATTCAGTTTATATATATATATATATTCCTTTTCATATTCTTTTTCATTATAGGCTATTACAGGGTATTGAATATAGTTCCCTATGCTGTACAGTGGGACCTTGCTGTTTATCTAATTTTGTATAGTAGTTAGTATCTGCAAATCCCAAACTCCCAATTTATCCCTCCACCCTGGCTTTTTTGAGAGCTGCAGTGTTCTGGTTCTTCTGTTGGCTACATGCTGCAAATAGCAATGGCATTTCTCAAAGTTAGAAGACCTCTGTGATTCACTTGCTTGTCCTTCAGACTGGCATATCTCTCCCGTGAAACTTAGGTTGCTCTGAACAGCTGCATTGGAGGATAGCTGTGTGTTGTTCTGATTTGGGCAGTGGACTGAAAAACAGGATCTCACAGCTTTATGAGAAGCTCTTCATATGAACTCTTTTTTGTCCAAAAATCTTTAGAAAAATGAAGAATCCATTTCCTAGGATACATTCCTAGGTGTGGAATTATAACTTGACAAAAGGGTAAACGTTTTTAAGGCTTCTGAGACATACTGATAAATTGTTCTCCACAAATTTGGTACCAATTTATATTCATGCCAACTGTATATGAGACTAATCTTTTGGCTAAAATATTATTTTTAAAAGAGGCCTAACTATAGACCATGTGAGGTTTTACTTTGTATTTCTTTAATTACTGAGGTAATTGAACATTTTTTTCACATTTAATGACCTTTTGTCTTTTATTATTTTTTAATTCATGTTCTTTATCCCCCTCCCACAATTTTTTTTGGTGCAAGCATTTTTAAATAAGAATTAATATGTAAGAACACTGTATTTTATGTCCTTACCTGAAGAAAAATACTCAAACCATGTGAAATAAGATGCATATTTTTCAGGAGAAAGAAGTGATAGAAAGAAGGTGAGGAGGATAGACTGGCAACAGACATTCAAGTAGCGAGGTTACTAATGGCCTTTCATACTTTCATCTCCCTTGAAAAATTGCCCCACCCGTGGCTTCTGATGCCTAGGTGGCCACGTGCTATATCACATGACTTTAATGATCATAATTGATGTGATGTCAACTCAAAGGTCACCAGTTACTAGGCTGCCAAGGGATTTATGAACTGCACTGGAATGTCTCCCTAGGGAATTAGAATAGCAAGTTGGGGTTGGGGGGAAGGTTGCCAATTAATAGCAGATCTGAAAGGACAAACATGCAGAATATGAATGAACCAGATTAGCTTTGGAGCTATAGAGAAAAGAGTCACAAATTCCTGCTTTTCAGATCTCTAAAGCCCCCATAAATAAAGGAGCACATTCCAGCGCCAGTTTCAGGAAGGCTGTTTACCTTTCCTGCTCTTATTCCTCTAGGTGTGTCCCTCCCTGTCTCTTAAGCTTCCTTGAGTGGATCTTTATTACTTACATTTATATGAACCTGAAGAAACAGTAATTCTGAGGAAAAGTACCTAAGATAAAGATTTAAAACTATCATATTTACTGCAACTCTATACATATCCCAGCAGTGTCATTTTAGTAGTTAATTCTTTCATTTAACAATTTTTTCAACATAAAATCATTGAGCATAGAGTCTATATTAGGTGTTGGGCTAGGTGGTAAAGAAGTTATAGAGATGAATCAGACAATCTCTGTCATCTAAAAGCATGTAGTTCAATCACACTTTTCTACATAGCATGGTCTTTCATTACTGCAGATTGTCAGATCAATGGTGACCAACTAGTTGCTAGGCAACTTGACAGCCAGGAATACAGAACTGATGCGGCTTCATTCTGATATGAATTCTTCTTTGAAATGTTTGTCAAGAATTGTGAAGGGTCTGAAATTTTCTCTGCTTTAAAGCTAAGATGTTAGCCTGCCGCAGTTTAATAGATGCTGGCAGAAGACATGTGACTTCTGGGTCAGAGACAAAGGACTTTTATCATTTACAGCAAGGCAAGTAACATAAGCTTTATGTTTGCTTCTGGTCCCTTGCCCCCAAATTCATGAGGGCAATGCAGAGCAACTCAGGTGAATGTGTCCCAACTGAGGAACATTAAGCGGAAGGAGCCCAAGTCTGTTACAGTGGACTGTAAGCAAACCTGCCTGACATTTGCCCTATAGGGAAACATTCTTATTATACTGGAGGGTAACTTGCCCTCCACTCTGGAAGGAGATACTGTCTCTCTCTACTAAGGCTGTTCACTATCACTATACAAACATCCTTTAAAAGATAGTTCAAAACCAAGGTTGTCAGTGCTTTTGCTTGCAAGACATTTTGCAGAAACACCAAAGACCCACAGAGAATTGTCTCCCAATGATGTTCTTTCTTTGGATACTTTTAAAAACCATTCAAATGTTTGGTTCTTATTTCTACTGCCTCTAAGTATCTACTTATTTTAAGATTGTCCTGTATTTCTTCATTTCTGCCAATTCACCAGAAACCAATTTTCTCTAACTTAAGCAAAAAAGAATGTTAGTGGAAGGGTATTGGATTACTTCATAATTCAAAGAACAACACCAAACTAGTACTGTTCTGGGACCTCATCAGCGGAAATTCATAGTTGTCTGAAGAGTGCTGTTGTTAGCATGCCTCAGCTTCAGTGGTTCCCTGTCTCTGCCATTCTGTACTTTAAGTTTTAAATTCTCCAAAGAGAGGAGTCAGATGGCCCAGCTTGACTAAGGCTCTGTCTCTATCTTTTCAGTTATACCCAAGGGGGAGGGACTATGAAAGCACAGACCTAGTTCATCTTCACTATTCCCAAATTAGGAGAGTTTCTTGGGAGCTTTGGAAGACTCCCAATTGCTTTCTGCTATATCTGGATTTGTTTTGATTGATATTCCTCTTCTTATGGAGAAATACAGTTATTGTTTTGAGCATTGTTTGATTTTTATCAATTAAATACAGTTTTGCTTTATTCATCATTTTCTTGGCTACCTTTAGCCGTTTCTCAGTTTTGGGGGTAGTCATTTTGTGAACTGATCTAAGCCAATTTAGTGATTCAAGAGCTTTGGGTAAATATAAGTAGCCTCTGGTGGTTGAAGACATATTGGACTATGTGTCTTTTCTTCTCAGTCCTGCTATTTATTATGTGGTATGCTAAGCAGGGCAAGGCTTAGCCCAAGTTTTGTTAATATTAAATATTTACAGCTAGTCAATGTATCTTCAAGACCATTATTTCAACAATGTAAATTTATTTTTAACATCTTTTATGCTAATTAATGTATCCTCTGGTGTAGATTTCAATAGTGCTATTTGAAATACAGGAGTAACCACCTCTAAAGCTGTGGATTTTCTTAATTAGGGTATTTCCAAGATAACTTAATCAGCCCTTGAGTGTGGAGTAATGTTACCTTATTGCCCACATGCACATATATACATATTTTTAAAGTAAATTACCAGACAATATAATAGGCTAGAATATAGGCATTTAGTCATGCACTCATGCTAATTTCCATACTCCTTTGTAATTAACATTCCTCCTGACTGGATTAATTGGGTTTGCAATAAGTAATCACGTTTATAATACTGCAACTGTTCCCAAATTAATTGCTCATGTGTTCAATGAGCCATTACATGTTCTTATTTAAAGCAGCTTAGAGAGTCCATGATTTTAGAGCTGTGGTCCTAAACATTTTGGGGAAAGGTGGCACAGAATCATCCAAGAATATGTCAATAACATGATGACAGAAACAAACCAATAGTTCCCAAACTTTGAGAGTACATGAGAATCACCTCATTGAAAATATAGATACCTTGGCTCCACACTCAGCAATTCTGATTACGCAGATACTGTGTGAGGCCTGGAAGAACTTTGAGAAATATTGCACACTTTATCCCTAGAAAAAGGCACATATGCACACACTTCCAACTTTACCAGTGATCTTAAGGGAGGGTTTCAGAACCCTGTGGCTTTCGTACAGTTTTTCTCAAGACTGGCTGTATAATACAATCACCAAGGGAGTTTTAAAATAATATTTCAGACCAATTAAATCATAATATGAGTGGTATAGGGTGACTAAACTGTCTGCATGTTTTTTTTTCCCCAACCCGGAATGGAAACTAGAAATTTTTCCCAATGTATCAATTTATTTTACTGAATTAGACTCACTTGACAGATACCTAGCAAAAATGATAATAAGAAGAAGTTCAGTTACCCTATAAATCTTACAAAATACACAGTTTAATTTGTGTATTGGTGAGAAGGCACATCATTTTTGGCATTGATTTGTCTTTCTCTCTTCAAAGGTTCAAAGGATTTAGTGGACTTTGTACTCTGTTTGATGGATAGCCCTCCCAAGCTTGAGAGAAGAAAAGCAGAGCTCTTTTTATAATTCATGGTGGTAAGGTAAGTGTTTATTATATTATCTTAGCTGAAGAAAATCTAAGAAAACATAAGTTCACTGTGTTTTGATAGCATACCCAGCAATTACTAAAAGTAAATATTCATTGTAAATAGCCCTGAGAAATAGTTAAATGTGCAGTTTTCTAGATGTTATCTGAGGAAGGTCTTTTTTAATTCTTTTGAGTAGGAAAATATCTTATTATGATACACAAAGTAGTAGATGGAAACTTTAGTTAGACTGATAAAGTTTTTGAAATTATTTTAGACTTCCTTATTATAAAGGAAAGGAGGCCTATAATCCGTGATAGAAAACCATGTTGGAAATAACCATAATCAAAGCTTCTTCTATGTTTCTTTGAAGTGGATCCATTTATAATATTACTCATATTCAAAGCTGTGGCAGTAATAGGTGATTTAATGATGTTTAAAGCCCTTAAGTAAGGAACATCGAGGGCATGAATTTAATAATTATGATCATTTCTTGTGCTGATAACTCTTGAGTTAGGATTTCCACTGCCAGAGACAAAGTTTTAGAAAATCAAATTGTGAAAATTAAGTGTCCGAAGTTTGGATAATTCAACATGTATGAGTTACATAGTCCATTTGTGTAGAAAAACTGGCTTCCAAGTAAGCAAAAGGGCTATTTCTATACTCAGAAAGCTTTCTCTCAAAAATTGGAAGCACCTAATGGCATAGGGCAGAAACCAGTTGAGTGTGAATTTGTTCTACTTGTCAGAAATGTTACTTTTTTAAATGTTAAGGTGGGATTATTTTAATTTTAAAAAATTGAAAAGATTTTCAAGCTTTTAATAAAAGCTTGGTAGTTTTTAATTCAGTTGTGGAGGATTCACCAAAATTGTGAGGGTTTGGAAGGTTGCTAGAATCTATTTGTGGTAGAAGAAATTTAAGTGTAATTGAATTGTAAATGTACTGTCATTTTAGGCCACTGCTGTCAAAGATGGTACTTGTAGAAAGGTGATTACTTTTCTTAGCGATAGAGTTAAAGGCTTTTAGGAAAGTTCCAGTCTTGTAGGGATAATGATAGCAATGGTGCCGGGTACCTGCTCTCCACCAACCTTACAAGCTGCTGTGCATTCCTGTTTCTGATCCTAACAGTCTGATGGATAGTGTCATCATTATCCCCATTTTATAGATGAGGAGATGGTGGAGACAGGATTTACATCCAGATAGCTCTATTTCCTAAGCCCCTGTTCTTCCTGTCACATCCTTTCGTCTCTGTTTCAAGTAATCCCTAAAAACCACTTGCATAGATCCTGAACGGTTACTCACTGCTTTTGAGGACAACATTTGCAGGATTGGACAGATCTGCTCACCCAAAAGGTCATTCTCCTTTTTGCTGTTTTTGTTAGTCTTCTTGTGACTTCCATATACTAGCTCTATGGGAGAGATATTAAGGATTGATTAGAGAGCGTAAGAAAAAAAGGGAGTATTGAGGACATAAAGGTAGACCACTATGGACACTGTCTCTCCACCAGCTGGAGAGAAGATATGTGTTTGGGGCAGGCAGGAAATAAGTATAGGAAGCGGTTCTGTTTCCTCCTGAATTCGAGTTTTTATTCTCTGTTGGTGTGCATGTGGCAGTGTTAAAAGGCTGGGGTGTTCTTTTATCCAGTCAGCAGGGGGAGCAGTAAACTTGAAGTGACATCCTGTAGGAAGAGAAAGGCCATCCACTCAGCACAGTGGTTTATAAGTAAGTGTTCTTATCCTGCCTTGCATTAATAGATTGCACTAAAAATTTTGTTTCTGTTTTTTTTTCCATGCTGTTTATGGTTAATTAAGTCATTGGACACCAACAGCAATGCTGCACTAGAAAAAGTATTTACCTTAGTAGAAAAGCACATTTTATGTTTATGTTTCATAGTAAAGTACATCTTTAAATATGTAGTGAATTGCAGTTTTAAAGATACCTTTCTAGAATCCATAGGATTGTTAGTTCTGGCCAAGATTACTTTTCTACCCTGGGCTCAGAATTATAGCTTTACATGGGAGCAGTCAGATGAGGAGGAGACCTTTGGTTCTAGGAGGTGATTTGAGGGTCCTTGAAAAACATGTTCTTATTTTGTTCTTACAACCTTTAATGCTATTAGGATTTTCAATCCCTTTTAGGTTAAATCTTCTTTTTTAAACTATATAACTAACATATGCATATTTTACCTAAAAAGAATAACTCATTAATTGGTCTTCCTTATTGACTTTGTTCGCATTTGAAAAAGTTCTGTGGACAGGTGCATTTTGATGTTGCAGAGTACAAAACTGGGTCGCAAAGCATCTCCCAAGCCTTCTTAAAGCATAGAACAGAAGTCCCTAGCAGGGAAGTTAAAGAATAAATGACGAACCCCTATTTTAACTTGGGCCACTGTTGGTTTGTGCTCTCGGGTCTTAGTATAGGAGAAGTAGCATGTTGAGTAAGAGACCCAGGATGAGATATGAAAGTCGTAATAGTTCAGAAAAGTCCAGATTACTGCTGTTCTTTTGGCTAGTGGTTCATAACATCTTTTTTGGTCATGGACCCCTTGGAGTATCTGAAGAAAGTTTTGGGCCCTTTTCTAAGAAATATGCACACATACACAAACTTAGCTCTCTATTTCAGGAGCTCATTGATGTTCTGCCTTCCCCTGAAGCCCACCATGTGTTCTTGTTTAGAGCAGTGGTCTCTAAAATGGAGGGTGGGGAGATGATGCACCCCAGGATGTGTACCCAGTAACCCACTGGAGTGTGCGGTTTTCTGTTTGTGTTTATTTTCTGTCTTTTAAAGTTTTTTCCATGTAGGTTTTATATTGCACATAATCTATTAGTACCATAGTACATATATAACATTTACATATAAGTAGATTAATAAAATTAGTTGTAAGAGTTCACATTTTTACTGGTGGGAGACATGACTCAAAATTGATAGGCTACCGATTCAGAGAATGTTGGTGATTAAATTTAAACTCTAGGCTCTCCTCTCCCTAAATTGGAGGGCCAGGAATAGGAGCTTAAATCAGAGGTGACTACCAGTGACTGGGAATTTTGGACCTAATGATGATAAGTAAAATTTGCCCACCCTTCATTAAGCACTGTCACACTTGCCCCATTTGGTCCCCGCAGTGGCTCTGGGAGTTAGATAGAGTAGGTATGCTAATGGATATCTCCAAGAGCAGGCATGTTAACCAAATTCTCAGAAAACTTGAGACTTTCCCAAGGGTCCTTGGCTGGTCAGTAGTGGAACTGGTCCTCATAACCTTGGCTGCCAACCACAAATTATAGGCTCGTTTCACTGAACTGCAGGGATAAGTCAATCATTATGGGCTGTCTAAGGTCCTGCTGTTGCAGTTATTGGTGCTCCCTGAGGACACTGAGTTGTTGAATCCCTGGCTGATCCAGGCACAGGGATAGAAAACATATTTTAGCTACTTGATCAGAGGTCCAGGAAGCTGAACTAACCTCTCAGCATTAGCTCTCTCCTGTTGGTACTGTAATACCAACATATTTCAAAACAGATAGAGGGCTCTGGAACGGTTTAGATACATCTATGTACAAAAAAGATTTACAATGGGTTATTAAATGGGAGTTTTGAGGCTGGCTTCATGGGAAGTGCCAACCACTCTTTCTCCCAAATTTCCCTTGGTGCCACTGTCAAAGGCAAAGTACTCATTTAGATGGATTGTTGTTCTGACCCAAAATGACATTTCCAACTTTTCTTATATATAGTCCAATTTCTGAACCTCCTTTTCAGTGATATTAAGTAGAATAGCATAAAAAAGTCTTTTGGCATTAAAGATAATAAATGTGTTCAGCATTGCTTAGGTGTCTTTGCTCTTGGCCAGTGCATTGGCTGTATTGATTTTAGAAATTTAAATCACCCTTTTTACCAGACTTTATTAATATCTCCTCCCCTCATCTTGGCTACCTTGCTCCTTCGCTCTCTCATGTGCAATCTTCTTCCCTTTTATACTAGCACAAGTTATAGGCCGCTGACTTTCACATGACCAAAGGTCAGGAGATGTTCTGAGGAGGATCCCTTGAGCCTGGTGATTAGCCTCTAAAAAGGGGACCTGCTGTTCAAGGGTCAAGCCTTCAGTACATTGCTCAGGCCCTGGGAACACTAACAGTGGACCTCCTGGCTTGGTAAGTACCAGATTGTTCTAATATGTGGCTTCCAGAGAAGAATCATTTAGCCAGACAGAAGACTTGAAAGTGAAATGAGATCTCTGGCTAGAGCTCATTCCAGTATCACTGTTACTGCATGAGGCTAAGGTTAATTTTGAGATTCCCTCTCATTAACTGTGTCCTCTGCTATCCTCAGAGGACATTTTGTTTAAAGTTGTGTTCACACATTGTTTTATTCTCTCTCTGCAACTGAATCGTGAGATCCCTAAGGATACTGCTGCCTGGTATGGCTTTGTACACCCCTCCCCAGTGTCCTCCAGAGTGGCTGGGACCCAGGGAATGATGACTCCTAGATTAGGACTTTCTTTCAGAAAGTAGGAGGGTGGAAGGATAACCCTTTCCCTGGTAATGGCCACTTTTCAACCAGGATTGTTTTCACTTGTTGACTGCTTATTTCTTTTCATGATATTTTAAGACTAAATTTGCTGTAAATGATAAAAGTAATATAACTACCCTATAGCAAACTTGGAAAATTTAGACATAATAATCATTTCTGTCACTGTTATATAAGTGTACCTGCTCTTAGTATTTTGATACATGCATTTAAAAATATTTTTAATAACAATGTGCTTGAATATTATAAAGATTGTAACGTTCCATTATAAGCATTTTTTTCTTTTGTTTAATCATTTAGTAAATGTTATTGAGATATAGAAATTTATTTCACTGTTTTCCTATTTTCTACTAAATGTATCATTATTTATTCCTCATTAGTATTTATTGGCTATGCCATCATTTATTTCTTCATTGTTATCTATCAGATATACCATTGCTTATTTAGCTATTTTCCTGTGCTCATCTCACTAAGTGGACTATGGGCTTAAAAAAATCTACCTATTTGTATACAGTTTGAAAAAAGTTATTATTATCATGTAGCATGGTATTTGGCTCATAGTAGGTATTCAGTAAATGTTGGATTTCTTTCTTCTCTCTTCCTTCTTTACACCAACCTTACGGTATTTTCTTGTACTGCCAGCCTGAGGGCATAACTCTGTTATGTAATTTTGCCTTGGCTATTTCAATTGCTAATTTGTGGGGAGTACTAGTACTGTGATTCCTGGGGTTCAGTTTTCTTTATGCCATTTGGTCAAGTGTATTGATTTGTTCTTGCCAGACATAAAATGTTAGAGCTACAAAGAATTGTGGAAATTACCTTGTCCAATGGTTTCCCAATTGGTGTATACCAGAATTTTTCAAGGCGCTTAAGAATACTGATTTCTTACTAAAGTTTAATTTGTTGTATGAAGATTGGGAATCTGCATTTTAAGAGGCAGCTCAGTGTTCTGATTTAGGTGATGGAAGGACCACAATTTGAAGTTATTGTTTGGTTAGTAGACTTTGCTAACTTTTTAGGGTTTATTTTAGATTTTCATGATGTTCAGTCTTTTGCTTTTAAAACTAACTGAATCTTGGGATGACTTATAACAGGAGGCAAATATTACAATCACAATTATGTTCTGCAACAGGAAATAAGCCCTAAATGAATCTTAACATTTTACCTGACACATTACTATGTTTAAGTGTACTAAAGATGTCATTGAAAGGTGCAGGGGAGGAAAACGAACTTGATTTGGCAGGTAGGTGTGTTCATGGTACTATTATCCACAACTGTCTATGCTGATTGACAGCACACACATAACCATTAACAGGCATTGTACTCAGTTGCATCAGATTTAAGTGTATGGCATTTTTACTGAGTATTTGAAACTGTTTTAGTTAATAGTATCAATTGTACATAGACCAACTTTCAGCCACTGTTTCAAAGTGCTTAATGGATAATAAACCAAAAGGTTCTGTGGACCTCTGCTTAGAATTAGCTTAGGTCAACAATTGCCATTTTGCTTAGGTATGTATTTTGACTAGGGCTAATGTTTAACAGTTCAGAGAAGGAATCTTCCCCACATTATTGATAAAATGAAATTCAGAAAGGGGAAATGCTCAAGGTCATTCAGCCAGAAGGAGCCAAGCCAGAGTTGGAGCTCAGATCTCCTGGGTCCTTGTTCTCTGCTCTTTCTACCACACCAAACTGCCCTTTCTGCATAGTGCCTGTCTAATGAGAAACAATCAGTCTAATGGCTGGTAGAGATACTATAATCCATATTTATATTGCAAAGAGCATTGAAGCAAGGAATTCTACTCAGTGTTTTCTTTTGGAAACCAAACATGCTTTATTTCATTTTTTCCACAATTTATTTAAACATCTCACATATACAAAATAGGTACAATTTAATTTTTTGGCTTGTCCGAGAAACAAGGCTTCTTTGGAATCACGGGAGAGGATGAAAATGAGACTGGCAAAGAACAAATGCTGAATTTAAAGAAGAGGACAATGTTGGGCAAATGATCCACTTACTTTTTTATACTGGAGTAAGATGTAAAGTACTGATGCTAAATCAAATGAAAAAAAAATACACAATACAACTCAACACAGAGGAGTATTTCTTCTCAAATTCTCCTAGCACCATCAACATTCTTCAAGTATCTGAAATACTATTAATTAGCACCTTTGTATTTTGAACAAAAAACAAGTACCTCTGCTCATCTCTGTCTAGATCAGCACCTAATAGTGTGGACCACACTCACAGGAAAGTGTTTTGAGGTAGTTTAAACCTTTGGAAGTTTGGGTTTTAAACTTCCCTCTGTGGAAGATATTCAAAAGCCACAAGTGGTGCAAATGTTCATGGTTTTTATTTTATTTTTCAATTTTTATTTTGGTTTTCTTACAAAGGTTGACATTTTCCACAACAGGTGTAAGAGTGTTGAAAAAAATTCCAGATCTTTTGGGAAGGGGTAGAGGGAGGGGGAATTAATTAAATCGTATTGCACAATGCTCTGATCAATCCTTCTCCTTCTCTTTTGCCCACAATTTAAGCAAGTAGATGTGCAGAAGAAATGGAAGGATTCAGCTTTCAGTTAGAAAAGAAGAAAAGAAATGGCAAAGAGAGAAATTCTCAGATTTCCTTTTTCTTTAATTTAGTTTGAGTTCATTTATTTGAAACAGACTGGGCCAACGTCCAAACTGAATTCTTGGTCAGCACCACCGATGTCCAAAAGTGCAATATCAAGGATAGGCAGGCGAGATGGCTTATTTGTTTTGTATTCAATGATTGTCTTTTTCCATTCATTTGTCTTTCTCTGTTTAAAAAAGAGAAGAAAAAAATACTCGTAAAACAGCACTACTACTGAATCTAATTATATTACATGATATATAATTATATATGATATATGTATCTAATATGCATTAATATATACTTACATATAAATTATATATTATATAATATTATGTATAATGAATCTTAGATACTATATTAACCACTTTTTGGCTCGTGTCATTCTGAAGATGTGTGTCTCAGATCAACAAGTTTATCTTTAAAACAGCAACATCGGGGTGTCTTTAGCAGGAGAGGTTTCCTACCAGTCTAATTTTATTAAAAAACATTTCAATGAATACTCCAAGTGGTTTATTTAGACATTATCATTTTCAGGATCTGTGTGGTGGGGAGAGTTGGGTGGATATGCAGTACTACTGTTATTTTAAACTTTCTTCTATTTATTGCATTTTATAGAGAAAGCATAAAGAAAAACTAAATGTAGGCCATACTAATAAGTAAAATAAAATACATTTAACTATAAATTATAGCTTGGACCCTTTTAACCTCAAGTAATTGTAAGTTTTGGGCAAACATCATCATTTAAGAAACTCACGTTAAAAGAAAAACAACTAACACATGGACATAGTGTATATTTCAGTATTTTAGAGAATTTCAGAAGGCAGGATCTTATAAAAATACTCTGGTTTACCATCTGAATTTAAACAAATACATTTATGAAAGAAAAATCAAATAAGTTAGTTTCTCATTCGTTGGTTCATTTAATGGTCTAAGCTAGAACTCCACTGTCCCACTACCAAAATAAATGTTACTCCCACATTTCACCATTACTTACAGAGCAGCCATCTGCAAGAACAGTGTAAGTGAACCTGCTGTTGCCCTCGGCAACCAGTTCAACATCGTTGGATCCTTGCAGAATGACAGCCTTTTTCAGGTTGCCAGTCTCCTCATCCAAGTATGCAATGCTGTTCTTGCAATGGTAGGTGATGTTTTGAGAGGCGTGGTTGGCCAGCAGGCGCATGAAGGCAAGTTGGGTAGCCATTTCCTTGGTGGTAACTCCTTCAACATTATATTCAAACTACAGAGAATAAGATGGAGTTCTCATTAAGTGAAGAAGGACTCAGATACTGATTCAGTCAACTTTAAAAAAATAATCTGGTATAGGGAGGAATGATGATGGACTCAGATCTGAACTTGCACTTTTAAAAGAAACTTATTTCACTTGTCTTTGAAGTATTAGCTACCTAGAAGGAACATAGGAACCACCAGACTGAGGCAAGTCATCTCAAAATGCAAAATGGTACCTATTTCAGATGAGGCCTCTATTATATGTTTCTTTTTTTAAAATAAGAGAGCAAGTAGACAGAGACTCAGGTCTCTTTATTTTTCTATAATTCCTATCAGTAGGCATTTAATAAGGTTGGTGAACGTTTTAATTACAAGTTCAGAAAAGTTCATGTCCTAAAAATATATGTGCATGGGTACTAGGCTATATGCTGACCAATACTCCTTCACACTAAACGACATTAGTCAGCTTCTCTGGTGATTATCAGTTAAGTCATTTGAATAATAACTTTGAATTGTATGGGTATGTCCAATCAATCCATCTTTAATGTGCAATCCAGGATATAACTGAACCCAAGAACAGAGCACGTTCTCTTAATAAGCCCTAGGTAGAGAACTAAAATGTAAATCATTAAAAAGCAAATAATCCTAACAAAATATTATTTAGTAGGAGAAGGGATGTTTGTAGGATTCCTTACTTGGGTACCACCATTGATAGTTTCTCCTAACCAGACGTGCTTCTTGGCCTTGGAATCTCTGTACCAGTTCTTGGCTGGGACGTTTTCAGGTTGAGCCCGGATGCAAGTTTCCCCAGTAGAGAAATCACAGTATACTTTGATAGCATCCATAGTACATCCTTGGTTAGGGTCAATCCAGTAGTAACCTTTTAAAGAAACAAGACCCAGATCATAAAACCTCTCATTGAGTGGAACACAGGTTCTAATAATTATTAATCAAAGCTTTTGTTTCCTATAAGTAACATTTTTGATTGCACTATTATAATGTCTATCCCACTTTAACAGGAAGAGTGTACTATTTTCAAAATTAGACAGTTTCTCTTCTCCTTTCCATGAAAATCAAATCAGGGTACAGATTTACTATGAGAAGGGCAAAAATATACATTATCAAGAGAAGCTTGAGAATAGGTGTTGGTTGGGAGAAGAAAATGCTTCATTAAGTAAGGTATGTTTCACATAATTTAGTTTTTACCCAAATACTTTTGAAAAGCCAACTGTGATAAGGGTCACGAAGTGTCAGTCTGGTTGGACATCTCAACCTACCACTGCTCCATTCTGGGTGGCTGAGTCTCAAGTCACGGCATGTGCGAGCTGGGTTCTTCCTAGAGCCTTCTGGAGTAAGAAGGGTCTCAATCTGGTTGTTGAGAGATTTCAGAGTGGCATCAACTTCATAATCCTTGGGTCTGAGAGAAGGTGGTGAGCGAGGCTGGTCAGCCCTGTAGAAGTCTCCATCATAACCAAAGTCATAACCACCACCACTTGGGCCAGGAGGGCCAGGAGGACCAGGAGGGCCAGGAGGGCCCTGCAAAGGTGAAAGTGAGAAAGAGGAGACTTTATATTTGGTTACAGTGAGAGACATCAATGACAGCTGGTTTTTAGTTGAAATTTAAATAAAAGCATGTTCTAATAAGTTAAAAAAAAGTCAAGTTTATGTAAATAACGACTTGCTTCCAGACATACTTGCAGGGGCTTGTAATGGGCTTAAAGAGCTCATTACATGTAGACAATTTTTATATATTGTAGAAAACACATGGAAGTGAGGGGACTACTTTAATGTGTTGTTATAATTGTCTTGGTTTAGTCTAAAGAAAATATTCCCTTAGGTCAGTGATACCCTTTATTATTTCCCAAAATCATACTTACAGCAGGACCTTGGCTACCCTGAGAGCCACGAAGTCCAGCAGGTCCAACTGTACCAGGATGTCCACTGCGACCATCTTTTCCAGCAGGGCCAGAAGGACCAGCAGGGCCCTAGGGAAGAAGTACACTAAGTCTGTGTGAGCCAGCGAAAACCCTGCAAGGGAGCAGAATCTTGAGGCTCACTGCCTGCCATGGACTCTGTCTCAGAGATATTTATCTCTTAGATTGACCTACCCTAGGACCAGCGGGACCCACAGGGCCAGGAGCACCTTGATCACCATGATGACCCTTTAAAGAGAGAACAGGAAAAATCACACTCTCAGAACATGTGTCAATAAACAGATTTTTTTTTAATTGAGTGGAAAACTTTAGTTTCAGTGGACTATGGATTGAGAAAAGTTGAAAATGTAAAATGGGGCTCTTTTCTCTTACTATGTCTATTACAGTCAATTATTTTTTTCTATGAGCTATTTCAGCAGTGCAATATTAGTCATTCTTCTAATTATATTTATTTTAAGTGGGGTTGAAGGACATTGTTGCCAGGAGATTTTAATATATGTATATTTCTATCTCCCTTAACCCTCACCTTTTCGTGATGGGATGAAATAGCTTTATCTCTGAGCTATGGAGTTAGCCAGAGAATGGGAAGTGAATAAAATGTAGGACATTTTAGAACAATAACAGTGAAGTTTAGAGGAAGATCATTCTGAGTTGAAGGCCTTTAAGATTTGTATACTTGCTAGATGTCCACATTTTACTTACAGCAAGACCAGGAAGACCTTGCAATCCATTGTGTCCCTTCAAGCCAGGAAGACCTCTGGGCCCTTTATCACCAGGCTCTCCCTTATCGCCTCGAATACCTTGTGGGCCCTATAAAGAAAGAGAAGGACAGATAGGAAATTTACCTCCTTTAAAAAAATGACACACACTTCCCTACAAATATTGTTAAGTCTTTTCACAAAGGTAATTCAAGACATGCAAAGGTCTAAAAGCCATGTAGGTGTTATGCCTGTCTCTTCCCTTAATCTGCTTTAGTTGAGCTTCTATAAAGTGGCTAGATCTTTATGATTATTTAATACAAATAAGCAGAAGATATTTGAAACAGAAGAGATTTAAAGCTATTTGCAGCAATTCTCGACATGGACTAAATTAAAAAAAAAAGTCTAGCCCATATACTATTTATTTCCTTAATGGACAATCTGGACTGATCTTTCCTAAATGTTGATTTGTACAGAAATCTTCACCATGTACATACACTAGGACCTCTTGGACCAATGGCACCAGTAGGACCAACAGAACCAGCAGCACCCTGTGAATTGGAAAATAAAAACACAGTTTATCAGCCAAGCCCCCAAATCCTCCTCCCTAAACCCCACAGTTCCCAAGTGTGGAGAGGTCAGAAGTGAAGCCTGTTGAGGATGACAGCATTAAGGGACTGATATTTACAAACTTACAGGTTCACCACGGTTTCCATGTTTGCCAGCGGGACCCACAGGGCCTTGAGGACCAGGCGCACCCACAACACCAGTGGGACCAGCGTTACCAGGGTAACCACGTTCTCCCTACCAAAGGCAAAATGAAGCTTCAGTCAATCTGGCCTGTATTTTAATCCCTTTTAAGTTAGAGAAAGATGAAGAGGTGTACTGACCTTGTGTCCAGGTTGACCATCACGGCCTGGGGGGCCATCACTCCCAGGGTTGCCCTGTGAAGATACCCCACCAAATAAGGCACTTAGTGAGGCTGTGTAGCCCACCACCCCCTGTAGTTCAGCTATCTGCTTTCATTGCTCCCAGTGCTCAAAAGAGAACCCCCTTTTCATGTTGTTAAAAAATAGGAACAAGAACTTGCTGACCTAGATTTTTTTAGAGGTGTTTTTTAGTATTTTGGCCAACTTGAAGAATGCTATTTGAAGACTCATTCCCTAGCCCAAGTTATTTTTCATATTTTCCATACTAGGAGTGATCGGTATATGTAGATATTGTGGAGAAACAGACCATTTTGTTTAGAAACTTGGAACAAGAGAACCTCAGCTCAGGATACAAAGTTGTACACAATGAAATACTGCTGAGTTTTATTTTACAAACCAAATGTTGGACTCACATCACGACCAGCTTCACCAGGAGCACCATTGACACCAGGACTGCCCACACCACCAGGGGGACCACGGGCCCCAGGTGGGCCTGAAATGCCAAGAGGACCAGGTTCACCCTAAAGAGACAAAGGAGACAAAACAACATTCCTCTCGTTGGACTGAGTGCCACTCTCACTCTCCCAAAACAATCCTAGCCAGGAGATTACAGTTTCAAGAGAGAAGGTAAATTGAAAGTGAATGGGTCACAGAATGCTACGAAGTGTCATTAGTGTCATCCTTGTCCTCCTCCTGCATACTTAGATGGTCAGCTTTGTGTAATTTTGGAATCTATACAAGATGAGCCTTGTTTCATCCAATATTCCAAGTAAAATGAATTCATAAAGTTGAGAGAGTTTATGGAGATGAGATGGTTGCTAGTTGCTGTCACATATTAAGTTTAATGGAATGATTCAGAACTTCCTGAGTTTCATTCTTCCAACAAGATAAATGATGCCAGCATTTCATATTGCAAAGGAGTAAATGCAATTAGAGTTTATATCATTCTTAAGCATGTAAAAAGAACAAAAATCATTCTGCATAATGTTAAGCTGTGTCTTTATAGCATGTGTCTAAGAAAGGTGGTATTAAAGCTTCTTAGATAAGTGACATGTGATCTGTATAAAGAAAATGCCATGAATAAAAAATCTTAAGTGGAGTTATTCAGTGATCAATCTGTCACACTTGAAGTGGCAGCTTTTATACTCTTTTATTATGTTAATGAGAATAAGAATGGTGTCAAACACTCACCACAGCTCCAGCAACACCTGGTAGACCACGTTCACCTCTTGAGCCTGGGAGACCCAGAAAACCAGGAGCACCAAGAAGACCTTGAGGACCTGGGGTGCCAGGAGGTCCCTGAACAAGTATAAAAATACTGAGTATTACTGATAAGACCTTTGGTGATAACACAGGTTTGCTTGAGGATTCTGAGAATGAGTTTACTCTCAGTTTAGAAAAGGATAGTGACCTCATTAGTAGGACACATCTTTGGCTGTTTTTTCTCTAGTGAAGACAGTGAGTTTACATCTTTGTACCTGGTTTCTCCTTGAGACCAGTGGGGAAACATTTAAAAATATGTGGTTGGGATTAATGAAAGCATCTTGGAGTGAGGGAATAGAGGTTTTATAGAGTTCATGCTGGGAAGCAAATTTTGACATTGGCTTCTAACTGAACCAGGTCTAGTAAAGTCACATTTCAGAGTAGGAATAATCCTGGACAATGCATGTTTAAAAATTTTGTAGTTTACTGAGATTGACTAGGTTACAGTAGGATGACCACAGCAAGAGATTCTGTTTTAATCCCAGAACCAGTAAAGAATCCTCAATAGCTTAAAGGGCTCTTTTGCTAAAACAGTTCCCTCAGTTATTGTCACCCCATCTGTCTTCTGAGATGCCTTCTGAGCATCTGCTGAAGCAATAACACCTCAGTATCTGTCAGATTTCCTGGCTCAGCTGAGCTCTACTTGAGAGCCTACAACACTCGTCAACAAATACATGCCACTTGAAGATTTGTATAAAGGCTTTGTTTTAATTCAACACAAGGTTTTAAGAGAGAGGAATTTGAAATCACTTACAGCAGTACCAGGCTCTCCAGATGGACCCTTCTCACCAGCAAAGCCAGGGGGGCCAGAGGCACCTGTTTCTCCAGCTCGACCAACTGGACCTTGGTCACCACGAGGCCCCCGAAGTCCTTCTTTACCAGCAGGACCAGGCGGCCCAGGGGGGCCAGAGATACCCTGTAAGCAAATGTACAAGGTCATTACTTTGTGTTAATCATCATGGACCTGGACGAGAACAGCTGAAGTTCTAAATATTAAGGTGCAAATAGTTTGCAGCAACAAAATGATATCCTGGTCAAATTGGAGAAGTGTTTAGACCTTTTAACAATCTTTTCTTGGAGAAACAAGCAACTTTCATCTTCCTTCTCCTGAGGCTGTAATAAAGTGAACAACTGAGGCAGAGGCTATGGCAAATGCCTGTGAGAAAAAGCAGTGCTGTGCTACCGGTCACCTGGCATATTGGAATCACAGCTATGTATGTAGAGTTATAAGAGTTAGCTGTAAATGAAGGGGACTTTGGATTTTGGAAGATTCTGCTTGTTCCTTTTTGAAGAAAGCTAATACAGGCATTCTGTTCATAATTGAGGAACCACATATGCTCTCAACTAGGTTTAATTAAATGCCTACAGGGAATGAAGATTTTTCTGTTATGAACCTGTGAAAGGATTCCAAGAAATCAACATCTTTGCTATTTTTTTCCGTGAAACCTTAACTGGAAGACTTAATCCTTGATAATTAATTAAATTCTCTTGAGTCCTGACAGAAGAGTCTGAATGAGAATTAAATTAGAGGCCAAACCACCTTTAAATTCAGGAACAATTATACTTTTAACAACAGAGGCAGAATGTTGGCCATAAAGGGTAATTCGATATAGCAATATCTGATATGTGACTAAAACCGTTAGTCAAAGAGACCATGCCCCTAAACGAGGATAAGAGGACTTGTGTTCACATGACTAAAACCCTCTTAAACTGATATTATAAAATATAATTTGTGATGACTTTTGCCTAAATGGTTCAGAAAAACTGATTTCAGATTAGGAAAGTAATAGCAAAATATTAGTAGCATGTTTCTCATAGAGAGTTTCTTACCAGTTTCGAACTAGAGACCAGGTCTCTTTTGACTAGAGAAAATAAATGAAGACACGTTTTGAAGTGATTTACTTACAGAGGGTCCAGGAGGACCAGTCCTTCCAGCAGCACCAGGGAAACCAGTAGCACCCTAAGAACCAAGCACATTAAAATTTCACAGTCAGCACCAACTCCAGGAATTTGGGCAAGATGAAAATTTCTCCTTTGGCAATTCCTCAATACATGTGACCACAGATGGATCAAAGAGTAGGTAGTGGCATCCTCATATAGGGTATTCTATAACCAGGCTTTCAAAGACCCTCCATCTCAACACATCTTTCTGACTGGCATGCCCCAAGTTGCAGTGCCCACATTTTGCATTAAGGCTCTGATAGTCCTTTCTGAAATGCAAACACATTACCTGATGGTTGTAAAAGCAAAAAGATAAAACACTATACCATTACACATTGATATGTGTATGTTAATAACTCTTAACCACCTGGCTGGGTGCCAAGGGAATGGACACCAAAGAAGAAATTTTGTTTACAGAGGAAGGTGCAACAAAAGACCAAGGGTATTAATTGCTGTCCAATGAGAGAAGGAAGGAGGGAGCGGAGTTCATTCCTGGGGAGCTTTGGGTCTCTAGGGAGTCAGTGTGATAGCACTGGACACCAAGGGAAAGGACTTGGTCAGGCAGAAGAAAGGGGGCATCAACAAAAGGACTAAAAGTATCAAAAAAATATTTTACTTATTTCATAATTAAACTACCTGAGGTTAACTTTGGTGGTTATCGCAAATGAAGTGGTAGCAACATACAGTACACTAAGTTCTGGCAGGGATTAAGTTAATATTCCATGAACTTGCCCTTAACTTCAGTATCAGAATTTCTCTGAATAGAGTTAGTTTGAATCTCAAGACTCTCCTTATTATAGTCCAAACTACCAGAAATTTCCAAACTTTCAAGTTGTCGCTAATAGATCCTGAAGAAAGAAAAATGATCAGAATCTGTTGTAAATACTCACAGGGGGGCCGCCATCACCACGACTTCCAGCAGGACCAGGGGGGCCATTTGGACCCTAAATGGAAACAAAAAAAGATGGAGTCAAATCACAAAACAATCCTTATAAATGTTACTCTTTTCTTCAAAGGAATCATTCCTATGTGTATTAGAAGCAAATCTAGACATTAAAAATGATTATATCTGTGTTATATAATCAAATGTCCTTACTCCAATATTACCACCATCATGGGTTTATCAAAGAAGTGAAATAAGACAATATTTATAGAACTTATATTATGTGTAAAGCTGCATGCAAATGTTAACTCTTATTTTAAAAATCATCTTCTATCCAGCATGTTCCTGATTGATTTATATTGAGTTATAAGGTTTCATGGGTAACTGCACAGGCTGTGTTGCCTACCAGTGAATTCAACTTACAGATGGGCCAGCAGCTCCAACAGGGCCTGTGGGACCAACAGGACCATTTTCACCCTTGGGCCCTTTGGTTCCTCTCTCTCCTTTAGCACCAGGTTGACCAGCAGCACCCTGTTGGAGATGAACAGTTGTAGTTCAGGTATTCCAACTCACTCTGAGTGCTAATTTGGGTTTTCTGAGATTAACCTTTATTACATGATACTCACAGCAGGACCAGCAAATCCATTGGGGCCAGCGGGACCAACCTCACCACGTTCACCCTAGGCAGGAGAAGGGATTTTGAAATGTCTTAGCAATCTTAGATTCATCAACATCTAAAAGCTATGAGTGTCCAAAATGACCCAGGTTTCTACTTACAGGGCTACCACGAGGACCAGCAGGACCAGCAGCACCAGCAGGACCAGCTTCACCCTATAAGGGAACCAAAAAGTGAGTTTGCTAATGTGACTCACATAGATGCTGAAAGAGGTAGGAGGGAGAGGGAACAGAGGTAGACAGTGGGCTCTTGTCAGAGTTTGCAGCTGCATCCGAAGAGATAACTAATTCACATCTGACAGAGTAAAAAGAAATGGGTCCTTACTCTGCTTAATGTTGTATTCATTTTAGGGGTTGAAGCCGTATTGGTCATACACTTTCAGAAATGCTGTAAGTCAGTGCCCACAATACCAAGAGGAGGACATTTTAATTTTTAGATGGACACAGGGCTGATCGATTTGCTGCAATCTGTGCAATACAATAAATATGGTCTATTTTATGTAGATTGTTCGATGTGAAAGGGGCACACCATATATTTTATTGATTTTGTTTTTTTAACAATTGAAGGCTTTGAGAAGGCTCAGTGCTTTAGGATACTGTTAATGGGCAACCCCAAAAGACTTCAAAGCAAATGATGGGGATTAAAGTATAGGTGAGATACCTGGCACATCTATAGGAAGGGAAAGAGAACTTCAGACACACAGCTTGTGTTCCCTGCTGCCCCATCATAACAGATAGGTTTTTAAATAAGTGGGCTTTATACCAAGCCATAAAAATGAATTGCTGGGGCTCTTTGGGGCCAGGGTGGCTGAAAATTTTAGATACTGATATTGGCTCAGAGAGTTGCAACTCAGTGAAATGCATGCTTACCCGGTCTCCATTGGCTCCAGCAGGACCAGGGGCACCTACAGCACCAGGGGCACCCTAGTACCAAGAAGAAAACGAGTCTTCTTATAACATCCCCATACCATCAAAAGTGACTCTTGTCTCTTCCCTTTGGTGTGCTTATGCAGTGACTGAACACTTTCACTGGATATTCTGGGTGGATATCAAGAAAGCCTTTGAAGCATTTCAGTCCTCATTATCAAGACTATTAACAACTCTCAGCATGAGAGTACCCTAGTTGTGAAGGTTTTGGAAATGTCTAAGTCATGGCAGATTAGGAACTGGGGAAATCTGAACTCTGTGCTCTTGTAAAAATTTGCTGGATAGTAGCAAATGAATAGCCTTGTTTAGAACCATTAGGACTGTGTGACCCAGAGAAAGGGCTATTATGAATGTGCCACCGGGAGTTAACAGCAACTGAGGGAGAGGTGAGAAGAACCAAAGTAGCTTAGAGCCAGGAACAGCCATGCTGCCAAGATTCTAGGTAGGATTATTTTATCTTTATGGGGTTATTGTTGGCATCTCCATGGCATTAACAGTTAATCTTCAGGGCTACTCTTTGAGTGATAAATTCTTAGAGTATACATTTGAAAAAATAGGACCTTGTTAAGAGGTTCTGGCTTCTTAAAATGTAAGAGTTACTGTTTTTCCTAAAGCCCTATAATAAACAATCATTTAATGTTCTATTAAACCTAGAGATTTTGAATTGTAGTTTGTACTTGGTATATAGCTAACACTAAGGAAGGTAGAAAATTCAGGCTATGATTTTCAGGGGAATAAGTCCTATTGAATTTTTCTTTTGAAACATGTAAAATGATGGTATATTATTTTAATGAAATATTCTTTTACTAAACTGAACCCTTCTTCTGTCAGTTAGATTTTGGAAAGCTTCCCAACTCAAATTGAGTGAAATGTAAAAACAAGCAAACAAAAGACCCAACAATCTTAAGTATAAACAGAATTCTACTCACACGAGCACCGTCTCTGCCTGGGCTACCAACGTCACCTCTGAGACCAGTTTCACCCTGAAAGTATAAAGCAAGAGCAACTTTTTGTTTCCCAATCAAAATTTTCAATTAAAATTAATCTGAAGTGTTTTTATAGAAGATGCTATAATACCTTTATAATACCTTTAGTAATGTCTTGATTCCCTACCATTCTATAAGATGTTGAATGAGGAAAAAAATAAGGAAAAAATAATTCAAGGCCCTTTCCAGATTAGTGTTAAATATTCTCTTCTAATTTCCGTACACTCTCCTGAAGCATAATCAAGCAAGGTACAGATTCATGTGGACAGAATTATAAGGCAACATCACAATGGGCTTCAGTGCCTGATCACTCTTACGGCATAACTAATGCAGCAGCACGGTTGACAGCTGTTCAATATAGCTTCTTCCCATTAATTAGGGCAGGCTAGGCATTATTGTTAGTGGCATTAAAATGAGCCTCATGTATTACTCAACACCATCTGTTTGCGTGAAATTCCATGGTAGCAAGGAATTTTGCCAGATTAGTGAGTTTAGAAATGCGTAGGTGCTAGAGGGAAATGTGTATAGATAGATATCAAAATGCTACCAGACCACCTGCCAAGAATTGTAAAAGAAAAAAAAGAGGTCAATCTTGTGCAGCCTTCTTTGCTAGCGTTCATCAACAATATGTATTAAGGTCCAACACGGAAAAGGGTACCTTTTCTCCCTTGCCTCCAGGTATGCCAGCAGCACCCCTCTCTCCTGGGAGTCCACTAGGACCAGATGGACCAGCAGTGCCTGGAGCACCAAGCACACCAGGTTCACCCTTGAATCAAACATATGTGGAATCAATTATTTCAGTGGTAAAAGAAGAAAATGAAGAGTCAAACTCTTGAAGGATTCCAATTTAAACATTTAATAGAAAGAATTCTTGCCTGCTTAGAGATACAAAGGAGGCGTACTGAAAGGAGGCAGACTATAACAGACAGAGATGCTGTTAATGACAAGGTAACTAAAGAGAAGAGGATAGTGATAGTGGGTGGCTATGATTTTTCTGTAACCTACTCCCATCCTCTTAAGTCAGGCAAGGAAAAGAAGAGGGTAGGACAATGGGAGGCGAAGAGTGAAAAATGTTTGCCCACAAACATTTCTCAAGGTTAAGTCTCTTAGCCCAGACAGGAAATATGGAAAGAGATCTCATCAATTGGGGAGATGTTTGTATTTTAATCTTCTTAAGAGTGGGGACTATAGCTTCCATTTTTCTATAAAACCTTACAATTCCACATGCTTAAAACCTGTTGACTAGCTTCTGAGATAAAACCTTTTGAAAGTACTTTCTCACAGAACCAATATTTCATTTCTTCTTTTCTCCCTCTTCCTTCTTTTTTAAATTTTTCCAATATCCTTCCATATACCAAAATAGCTTTTTATAGCTAATCTTTACATTGTTTTCCCTTAACGGTAAGAATCAGAAGTAATATAGGTTGCCTTCTCTTTATTGTGGTTAATCTGTTTCTCAGAAACGTATTATTCCATCTATTTTAAGATCTAAACCACAGATTCTGTTCTGAAACACAAGTTTTCAGGCTTATATTTTTGGGGTGAATGTACTGTCCAATTAATTTTTGTCATCATGAATTTTCTTATAAAAATGTAGGCTACTTTTTGAAATTTTATTCTGTGAAGTAGGATGTTGAGGAGGTAAAAGTTTATTCTCTAAAAACAGTGTCCAAATGTATATAATGTTTCTAGATTAGGACAAAAATATAGACAGTATGATGAGAAAAGAGTGAAAACCCATACTAATTCATTTATGTATATAGAGCACTAGGGTTTTGCTTCTTTTGGAGTAATTCAGATTGTCATTTACTGAGATGGAAACCATCACAAAACTGAAAGTAAATTAAAAAACGGAGAAACAATTCATTTACTATTGTAAAGGATTCACTTATTCTAGAGTATACTGGGCTAACGTAAAGGTTTACCTTGTTCCCATCAGGCCCTGGGGGTCCAGAAGGACCTCGGCTTCCAATAGGACCAGCAGGACCGGCAGCACCACTTTCACCTGGGGGACCGCGCTCCCCCTGCGCAAAAGGGATAAGAAAAGTGTTGTGCGTTTGTCACTTTCAGAGATACGTTTTACACATCAGAGTTCACACTTGTTTAGGTTTTGAATCCTGGTTCTGCCATTTATTAGCAAAATATAATTATTTTTCCTTAATTTCTGTACTAGTAAAATGAAGGGATGGGATGAGATAATCTCTAAAGTCTTACTCAGCTCTAATGTTCTGTGGCTACAACTCCAAAATTTGTTGCTTCTAGAGTATAATATTCAGCTTTTAGAATTCACTTCCTTTTTGGGGGGGGTCTTTTTTTTTGATAGATCCATAGGTAAAAATAGTTGCTAGTTATGCATAGTGTTCAAAGGGAAAGATTGCATAATTTTAGATGAATAGCAATGGCAGGTGTAAATAAGATTAGATATTCCTATATAAGTGCTCTCTTTATACAATTGCATGCAATAGTGATGTAACAAGTATTATAGTTAACATAGAATATATATATGAAAATGTGTGTGTATTTGTATGTGTCTGTCAATTTATCAATCTATCTAAACATCTCCCAATTTGCCTGTAAATAGCACTACAGCATGGCATTCTTTGGTCCAGAATATTTAACATGTAAGTCCACACTGCAGCTGTTTCAAAGGCTCTTGTTATGACTTGGTTTTATGTTGCTATGTTTCTATGACACTAAATTTGAGTACCCCCACTATGTGGCAACTAGCCATATAAAGGATACTTTAGGGGCCAGCTAATCATTCTGGTTATTCTAATGATAATAGACAAACTACAACAATTTTTTTAAAATAAAAGTAGGCTCATGCTTTAAACTTTTAGACTTTGCACACCAACACACATTACAAAAATGGACTTTATATCTAATTAGATATTACTTTTCTTTAGCTCAGGCCAAGCTACTGTCATAAATATATCATACTTGTCTATATAAATCACTGAATATGATACATATATTAGTTCATTTATGTTTCTTATAACCATGTGGTTTTTGAATAAGAAATATGAGCAATTAAATTTAAAAAGCTACCATTAATTTAGAAATCAAATGTTCCCTACGGATTATGTTTGACTACAGAAGAGTGTCAGGAACTTGTTGCAAGACCATCAGTAGTCTTTATAGGAGAAAGCACTACTTGTTTTAAAAGACACATTGCCAGAAGTTTATGAACATTAAGTAGCACTTACTCTTGGACCAGCAGGACCAGGCAGACCAAATTCACCAGGGATACCCTAGGGAAAAAATGAGAATAAATCAAGTGTGAAATTAATGCATGTTCTTTAAATCCACCTATGATTATGATATTTAGAAAAGTTTTGGAAGCGTGAAATAAAGCCGTGTGGGTCTACCTACATGAGTGTATAAGTATATAGGCTGTTAGGAACAAGAGAATTTTCATCAGTGTATGAAACAATACAAAAAGTGAGAATTCCACTAATGTTAAAGATATAACTGTCCTAGAATCTGGTATCAGAAAATTTTAGTTTCTCATTATTTAGTTTATTGCTTTTAAAAAAGTAACAAAACAGACCATCTCCTTTGATAATATGATAAAATGATGAACAATATCAGACATTGCCTATTTTTATTTATATAACAGACTGCTTTCTTAATAGAAATGCTCATATTCTGCACATTACCTAGTTAATTGTATACCCAAGTGTATCTCCTTTATTACTGACCAGCTGTCTCCTTAATGTGCCCCACTGTTGACAAAGGAGACCAGGCCACAGAATGTAACTGAATTGAGGCACATTCATCACAATTACAGAGAAAATGACTCAGAACTCATGCCCTTATTGTGAAGAGCAGTGTCATGTCTGAATGCCAAGAAAAACATTAAAAGCAATTTTTCAGGGTCTAGTTTGATAGAAAATCAGTGCATTTACTTTTTCACTATGGAGAGGGAAATAATTTGTACCTTAACATTACCAAGAACAATACAAAAACTAAGGCTATTAAATGGCATGTTCATTGATATATTTTACTTCCATAAGGTGGTGTTTCATTCAGTCCTTAAAACAAAGTAATTTGAATGAAAATGAATAACTTGGTTCATTCTCTCCATCAGTACCAACATATGTATAGAACACTATCATTAACATATGAAATATGAAGTTTTCTTTTGCATATTTATAACTGCACTGTGGTAGGGTGTTCAACAGCGGGTAAGTCCTAAGTTTAGGTGAATTTACTATCACTTGTTTTACTCACCCTTTCTCCTGGTTTGCCAACTTCACCAGCTGTCCCTGCGGGGCCAGGCAGACCCTAGATGAAAAACATACAAATCTCAATCTTATGATTATGTTTGGGTGATTTACTAATGATTGGCTTTTTGGGAGAACTAATATCAACATAATCACTAAGTATTGTGTGTTATTAAAACATTACACAAACGTTTGTCTTAAAAAAAAGTATCCTTTTTTGTTTCAGTTCTGAAATCATGTTCTGTGTGGTGAGGGCAAGTGCTAAAGCAAATTTACAGCTGGATAGTTTGACCAAAGGCAGTAGTCTGTATGTTTTAGTTGACTTACCTGGAAGCCTGGAGGCCCAGCAGGACCCTGTTCACCTTTCCCACCTTGCACACCCTGAAAGTGATAGGAAAGATAACATAAATAGAGAGATATGCTACTATTGCTGTCCTGCTACATAAATTTTGGACTGGAAAAGAGATGGTCATTTTTGTGGGACTAGATTCATTTTAGGGCAGAAAAGAACAAGAGTGGGAGAAATACTCACCTGTGGTCCAGGAGGTCCCTGAGCACCATTGTTTCCGTCAGGACCTGGAGCACCCTAAAATGTTTAATGGAAAGACTGAGAGTTACCTGTGATTCAGACAATTTAAAATGTCTCAAAGCCTACCTCATGTGTGACTTCCTCAAAGCAAAGCTTGTCATTTTAGCATGAATTAAACTCAGTGTGGGTACCCTGCCGAGGTCCAAATACTACCTATCCACTTTTAATATGGCTCATGGGAAGCCCATGGATGGAAGGCATTTATGAAGGCCAGAGGATGCTACTAGCATATTTATACCTTTTAATCACAAAATGAATTAAATAAAAACCAAATGCATCCATTAATATTTTTGACTTAGTATACATTCTGATTTGTTATAAATCACTGCCTTGTAAGTGTGGCTTTAAAAAAAAGAAATTTTGTGATGACAGAAGGACCCTTGGGGATGCCATTTTAGAAAGAATGTGATGGAATTATATCAAATGGCCTCAAAAGATGTATATCCTATATGAATACTATGTGGATAGGTCTGCAAAGAAGTTAGCGCATACCCGAGCACCAGCAAGACCAGCATGACCTTTTTCACCATGTTTGCCAGGCTCACCCTATAATAAACATAAAAGAAAAACATACATTTAATGTCAAATTAACCGTGACAAGTTTAAAATGTTAATTTCTTGCTTTTTTTTTTTTTGGAGATTCCTAGACCTTGACTTCTGTTGTCTAAGGCATGATCCATCATCACACAGCAACATGTACAATAAAGTACACTTGTGTCTGTGGGAGTGTTATGACTCAGGATGTGGATTTTCAGCAGGAGTACAATGATACATTGGAGGTCAACTTTTAATGAGGTAAGTGGCTTGCAATTTTCTTCTGTTGAAAGGAACCCCTCTGAGGTGGAGTGGACTGAAGCAGGAGTGAAATAATAGAGTTTTGGCAAAATGAGGCAAAAAGTGCTAAGGGAGAGAAGGTTGTGGTGATTCTTACAGCGGGGCCTTTGGGTCCAGGGAATCCGATGTTGCCAGGCTCTCCTCTTGCTCCGGCTGGGCCAATTGGTCCAGGCCTGCCATCAATACCAGGGAGGCCCTGAAATAAGAGTTTATTTAAAGTTCACTCAGTTAACTAGGGTCTCACAGCCTCCAGCTTGTGATGCTGCCATGGAATAAAACAGAATCATTTTCTGAATGCATAGAGCTTCCTGTATAAAGTGTCAATAAATTCTGAATCCATTTTCCTTTTCTAAATAGGATGTCAGTACACACACAGCCAAGTCATTTCATATGCACACAATTCCCTCTTTCTGCTCTCTTTTCATACCCTTGTCACCCTCTTCAATTTTCCCTACCATGTTTTTCTTTTTCCTTCTCTCCTTTCACTTCTGTGTTCATTTGGACTCTGTAATTGAAGTCTGTTACTTTTCATTCCCAGATATGTATGTGGCTGATACTTATTTTCAACATGTTAATATATAAATAAACTACAGAATAGACTTGATAAGGCTGCAACAAGCGACCTTGAAAATGTAATGGAAAATGAGCAATACTTACCACAGGACCTTCTTTACCAGCTGGGCCAATATTTCCAGGGGAGCCAGGAAAACCCTATAAAACAAATAAGTTTGCTTTCATATTGGCACTTTAACACAAATACTCAAGGTTCCAATTCATTAAAATCTCACAAAAGCACTTTTCTTTCCTACTTTTTGTTTGTTGCCTGGGGCAAATTATTAGGGGTATTAGCCACTAGCTGGGAGGTGTGAAAAGATCTCTGAAATCTTTCTCCTTTCTATTTTTCATGCTTTTCCTTTTATTGAATTTTAGTGCAACTGATCCATCTAAAGATATCTCATGAAACTGTCGAGCAGTATACTATATGGGCAAAATGTATCATATTATTTACCTTATAATAGAAAACCAAATACTTTCAGTAAGCAATTTTCAAAGTGGATTTTTTTATTGCTATATTTGGTGTCTTTATTACTTGTTTATGGTACAATTACAATGATACTCATCCAAAAGAGTTAATAGAGGCAAAAAATTGCTCTATTGCTATGGATTAGAGTGTCTACAGATCTAAAGGTCATTTCTCCATAGCTCGTGTGTTGCTGAATACATTACAGCACTTTGTGATTGCTGGGAAAATGATTCGCTTATGAATCTAATAAACTGATAATGTATAGTCCTAATACGTTTCATGAACACCTTATATAAAACTCACAAATTGAGATAAAAGATTCATACTGATAGGAGAACCAACCTAATTTGGATATATTAAAATGAATTTATTCTTCAGAAGACCTCATAGCCATTGTATCAGGTAATAAAAATGAAATTTATGGGCTAACCAAATTTGTCAGAATATCTACTGGGTTTTGATAAATTAAAAAGCAAACCATCAGCAAGTCTAGTGACAAATTAACTTTTGATGTTTTATTGTTGTCTTCAAATATTAATCATCCTTTTAAAAAAGGAAACAGTGCCAGATGTGTCTTGCTCAGAATCAGTCTGAAACTTACTCGGGGTCCCATGAGGCCAGGCTCTCCAGGGCGACCAGAATCTCCATTGGGACCTCGCACACCAGCAGGGCCAGTTGCACCACGACTACCAGCAGGGCCCTATTAAAAAGAAAGGAGAAAGGAATATATGTATGTATATGCATGACTGGGACATTGTGCTGTACACCAGAAATTGACACATTGTAATTGACTGTACTTCAACAAAAAAATTTTTGTTTAAAAAAACAAAAAACAAAAAAAGAAAGGGGAGGGAAGGATGCCAGAGTGAATGGCACAGCCACCACCAGAAGCATCAAGTTCCTTCTCAGGAAGTGGGTAATGGACAACTTACCATGACACCAGCTCTGCCATCAGCTCCAGGAAGACCACGAGAACCAGGATTTCCCTGTAAGAAAGTACATGAAACAGAAGAAAATTGAAGAAGATCCTTAAATCAGGTAGGGCAGAATTTATTGAAACATGGCATGCATGCAAGAAATCTTGATCCCCTTAAGGGGAAGATACATTTACAAACCAAGCCAAAAAAATTCATCCAAACACCGAAGGAATGTGTAGGGGAAACATTCTGCGAAAGTAGGTCAACCAGATCAATTTTATAACATATCAAATTGAGAGTCAGTGATTTAACAAAGCAGGTGGAAAGCAGATGCTTCCTTCATCTAGAAAAAGTACTCAGTGATTCTGACCAATTCCCAATGAAGGGGTGCCTCTGGCGTGTCTGGGCGTCAAGAGCATCTGGAACCTACTCTCAGCCCAGGAGGTCCTGCAGGGCCAGGGGATCCAACTTCACCAGTGGGGCCTCTCTTTCCTTCTTCACCACTGGGACCAGGAGGACCTTGGGGCCCAGCAGCGCCCTATTTAATGAAAGAAAACAAAAGAAGGGGACACGGGAAAAATAAAATTTATGTCCATATCCAGCTAGAGAAAAAGTAATAACTTAAAAAGGTGAAAGTATAACTTTTTGGATTGAAAAAGTGGTAACTCCGTAAAATTGTGTTATAGAGCTACTTACGGGCTCGCCCTTGTTGCCACTCTCTCCCTTGGAACCAGCCGGACCAGGCTCACCCTAGGGTCCAATACAAAACAATGGTCAGGTGACAAACATTTGACTCAACTCTCTCATAAACATTGGGAGCTATGTATGGTTCAAGGTAAAGAGAGCTCCAATTCTCTAAGAAATGTGCTCAGTTCATATTTAAATGACTTATAGGGGAATGATCTTGGTTGAAAGGACAAGACTGATATTATAGAAATGTGCCCCATAGACCTCTGGGTAATGTTCTAGGATAGCAGGAGGGGTGTGTCTGTGTATGTGTGTGTAATGGAGAGAGAGAGAGAGAGAAAGAGAATACATACATGTGCATGAACTTATAGAAGAAATGAAATACAAACTAAAAATGCAAAGGAAAAAATAAGAATGATAAAATGACAAGAGGAGGTCTAAATGGGGGTGAAGTGATGGTAGAGCTGATATTTCAGGATGATGAAAGCATCGGCAAGTACCACTTACAACAAGTCCTCTGGCACCAGTAGCACCAGCAGCACCAGTAGGGCCAGGAATACCACGGGGTCCAGGGAGGCCAGGAGCACCAGCAACACCGGGCAGACCCTGGGAAAGAAATGCAGCATGGACCATCATGAGGCAATTGGCAGGAGAGACAGCATTCATTAAAATGCCTTTAAAACCACAGCAGCCCATTTTAGCCATATACTCACAGCAGCACCCTTAGCACCAGTAAGGCCATTGGCTCCAGGGTTGCCCTGTGAGAAAAAGGAAGGAAGAAGGATTTAAGTTCCTAAGGAGTATTTCTGTTCTTCTTTGACCCCCTACCTTCACTGTTTTTTTTCCCTTCCTTCCACTCAGTGAGGTTAATGACAGTGATTACTTACAGGAGGTCCAACAGGGCCAGAAACACCTGGAAGACCCACTTCACCACGGGGACCCGCAGGACCAGCAGGACCAGGGTTACCAACAGGTCCAAGTTCACCCTAAAAGAGGGAATGACACTGAGGCATTAGTAAATAATGAAACAGCATGTCTCTGTTTTTAGGCTACCAAGTTTTATGAAATGTCTTCAGAATTGCAATAATTTCCCTTAATCTGGTTTTGTACCACAAGATTTGGATTTGTGTTCCTATTTTCCTGGCCTGGTTCTGCCGTTGTGGCTACCATCGCTATCTTCAGCTATCTCTGTCTCTCCAGGGTGGAGACTCGGTTCTCAGCTAGTCAGTCTCAACTAACTTGGGAATATATCCCAGAGGGGCCCTGTGAATCTATTTCCATGTTGCCATCTATAGCCATGCTCATAGTGTTCAGGTACAGAGAGACCATCTATTTCAAGCTCAGAGTTGAGAAAACTGGTCATTCTATATCCATTTTGAAGGGGGGATTACTTAAACTGCCTGTTCTGTAATTATCTATCTGCAAACACAGCCCCTATCTTTCACGTCACAATAAAAAGTTTATCAAGGTAATGACAATGGTCATTAGTGTGTTTACCTTGGGACCAGGAGCACCTGGGAAGCCTGGAGGGCCAGCAGACCCAATGGGACCCTGAAATCAAAGTAGAAGGTGGTAAGGGATTTCTTCCCAGTAAATTAACAACACATCAACAACAGAAGATTGAAATGGCTTAGAGTGGCTTGATCTTACTTAATGCTGGCAAAGAGAAAACTGACAGCTAGTCTGTTGTCATTAGTATCTTATCAAAGGGAAGACATTCCACGTACACACGGTGAGGTAGATTTTACTTTATATGTCAATTACAAGCCTCAGGGATAGCAGTTCTTATAAATAGAACCTTCAGATCACCTTGTAGAATGTTTGTAAGGTGTCTAAAATGGTATTATTTCATAGGGAATTAATAAAGAAGATAGCTTGCATCCCACACTCTCAACCCCTTCCAAATAGTTTAGTGTCAAAACTTACAGCAGGACCCACAGGACCCACACTTCCATCACTTCCACGGGCACCCTATGAAGAAAATAAATGTAAAAAGTCAAGTGGAAAGTTAAATAGTATATATTAGAAGATTTTAAAAAAGAATAAAATGAACAAAAGTGGAAGCACTCACAGCTGGGCCAGGGGCACCAACACGTCCCCTCTCTCCAGGAAGACCACGAGCTCCCTAGAAGCAAAAATATTTCCAATGAAATCCAGAATACTAATTTAAGAAAAAGTTACAGGCATCATTTGCTTTGTCCACTTTCCAACATGTGCAAGAATCCACTAGAAATAAATAGGTCTTGTTCTAATTCCAACTAAAAGGTAATGGATTTCAGTTAAGTATGCAGAAGGCTGTTAGAAGAATATCAAAGAATACAATGCCAAGGGAAATGGTAATTAGCGATAACATTAAAGAAGTTCCAGCTTGCAAAGAGTGTACACATTTTAATTTACAGTAAAGTGATCAGTACTTACTGTTTGACCTGGAGTTCCATTTTCCCCAGGTGCACCAGGTTCACCCTGCATGGAAAGGAAGGATAGAGGTTGTGTCGTTATATACATTGATTTTATTTCTGATTGGGTAATTTTTGCCCTATTACTTCAACTTTAATCATTCATATATTTTTGTAATATTTCTTACATATTTTCTCAATTGTGCCAATTACATAAATTAAAAGGAATTTATAAAATACGGGGTTTTAATTAGATAATACTAAATATCACAGTACTAGGAGATGTGGCTGAGTGTTATTTACCCTTTCCCCAATTTCCCCTTCAACATTGGTTAGACTAGGCTTATATATTAGGAATGATAACATAAAGAGTGATGACAGAGGATAAGTTACTTTCAACATAACTATATTATATTTACCCTCTTTAAAGTTATTTTGAACACTAAATATTTTCATTTTTATAAAATACGCATGAACATACAAAGTTTCATATTTTTTAGAGATGTCTTACTTATTTCCAATCAATGTACTTTTTATCTTGAGTAGAAACCATGTTGGTGGTGGCAGGGGCGCAGCTGAATACAGTGGCACATGACAAAGAAGTTTCCTTCAAAATAATCTAACTTAGACATAGAAGAAACCTCGTTTGTGAGACCATTTAAGGACCCTTCATTTCTCGAATTGTATACAAGGTGTATTCTTTCGGAGTAAGCACTAAAGCGGGTGTCAGGAATTCTAGCCTATGCCCTTCTAACCACTAGATGTGTGACTTTGGGCAAGTCACTTGCTTTCTCTAAGCCTCAGTTTCCCTTATCTGCAAAATGAGTCTCCAAAGCTCCTTGCAGCTCTAACATTTTATGATGCTGTGATTAGTAGTCTGAGCTACTATAGTAGGCTCTAGGGAGAATGAGTTTGACCTTATCCGTTTGTGTGGCAGCTGGGAAGTTAGAACAGATTCTCCATATTCATGTTCATTTCTGGTCCCGCTAGTATTCGTTACTCATTAATTTGTAATTACGTTGGTATTCACTTTAATATCACATTATCTCCTTAATAGGAGAGAGAACATTTCATAGTTGAAAACGCTGTCAGAGAAGAGCCCAGCCAAGAGATAACACACTTCTGAGACTTTAATTACCTAATTAAAATTTTTTTGAGTGTGCACAGATAAATCACAGGAAAGAGGTTGAAAAGCGTATTGTGACATGAATGTACCTATCTAATTAGCGCATGGCAAAGGAGAATTTACAGTTTAAAATAACATAGTGTTCCTAATATCTGATTATGTGTTTATTTACTTTTATTTTGGCTGCAGAGATTGACTGAAATTGTAGGAGGAAAGGAAACGGAGGAAGAAACTATTGACATTATTTTTATTGCAATTGTTTAATAGATACTGAATTAAATAAATATTATTAATACTTGGCATTTTATTACAGAATCCCATAGTCCTCACCATTAAGGAATATGAAGTATTGAAGAGGAAATAAGATGCTCTTCAGAATATGAGTAGCCTTTAGTAAAAATATACTTTCTGATGGTGCTGGGGAATTACAGTCAATGGTTTTAAAAACAATGCTTCTGCTTTAGTATTTACCTTCACACCTGGAGCACCAGGTTGTCCCTTCAATCCATCCAAACCATTATGACCCTGAAAGGCAAATCCTTATTATTAAAATGTTGTTCCATTTAGTGCTTGGTCAACTCAAACATCTTATATCTTTGCAGTTATCTCCCAGGTTAATTTTGTGGCCGCTATAGCAGAATGGAGTCTCAGTGCCCGGCCCTGGGCGAACTCCTTCTGTTGCCCTAGGTAAGTCATTGAACCTCCCTGCACTTGAACGTGAAGGATATAGAACTAAATGCTCTCTCACATACTTTACATCTTTAATAATTTTATGATTTTCAGAGGGTTGTAAATACCCTTTATGTTATACCCATTTTACACAATTTTCTCTGTAGGGATCCTTGTTTCATGGAAGCTATGACAAGACTAAAAATAAAACTACACTTTACTTTCCAGCCATCTTACTCTTGAATTGTCTTTCCACTCCCGCAAATTCCAGGAATTTGGAAGCAAATATGTGTCACCCAACAGTTTAAATATAGTTTAGTTTTTTAATAAAAGTAATTAGCATTTTCTATTTTCTCTCCTGTGGGTAAAAAATTTTGCTTACCCTAATGCCCTTGAAGCCAGGAAGTCCAGGGGTTCCAGGGAAACCACGAGCACCCTTAAAAAGAAACACAGAAGACAAATAATGCTTTTGTTCTAAATGAAAAGACAAGGTGTTTCTTCTCATCAAAGTCCAAGCTTGGAATGAAAGACTAGTATGTTTAAGCAAGAGCTGCAAATTAACTTGCTCTAATTTGAGTAACTAATTCTATGGCATTTGTAGGAAACACAGTTTAGTTGTTTACAATATGCTTGCTGTCGTTAATGTTATATTATTTGCATTAATAAAAACTGTATGCATTTTTAACTAGGCTCCTTTATTTGTCAGGTGCCTTCAATGAGTGTTGTATAAGTATGCAGACATCTACGTTGCCACTTAGACTGATTTTAGTTTTACCAGCTATCTTATATACGAGAGGCCTCTGATGTTTGGACCTACACTATTGTAAAAAATCTCACCTGTGGTCCAACAACTCCTCTCTCACCAGGTCGTCCAGGTTTTCCAGGGTGACCCTAAATGAAAGCATCATAGGGTAAATTTTTTCCTGGTAACTCAGATGAAGGGGACATCTTGGTTTTCACAACAGGGGAAAAGGCATCATATAAATATGTCGATCAAAAAATATATTTAATTAACAATTATATTTCCTTATTACAATCAAATTAATATTTCATTAAAATATTATTTTCTAGATGGGGAGAATTATACCAGACATATTCAGCTTTTGGCAGAATACTTCATTTGAATCTAGAAATTCCCATTGAGGCAGGAGTATTTAAATGGCATTTGGAAATGCTTAAGAGTAAATACTTACATCCTCACCAGCCTTGCCAGGAGGGCCAGGTGGACCACGAGCACCTGCAGGACCCTAGGAAGATGGGAGACCCATCATTTTGTTAATGCTATGTTAATAGACTTCTTGAAAAAAATTTATCAGAAAAGGGGGAAAGTACTCACAGTTTGACCAGGTTCACCAGGCTCACCAGCAGGTCCTTGGAAACCTTGAGGGCCCTAAGGAAAAACAGTGTGTCACACTCCAAGGCTTTATTTAATTCTGTCTTTTTATATAAGGGAGATTACAAACTTCCCATACTTACAGGGGCTCCAGCTGCACCAGGAGGGCCTCTAGGTCCCATCAAACCCTGTAAAGAGGACAGGTATAGTTAGCACTGACAGGTTGTCATGGCCTTGGTTTGGGTTAGACAGGACTAGCTTAGTAGTGCCATAGACATTTTGTGATGGACAAATTAAAAGAATTGTCCTGGTTTTATTTCATGATTTTTGTTCCTCCCAAGGAGCATTTAGGGATGAAAGTTTCCTCCACTCTTTTTCTGCCTTTGCTTCCACCTTTTGTCCTAATCCAAATCAGAACTCAGTTGGATGGGGTGGCCACAAGTTCCTTAGAGTTTTGCACAACTAGGCATATTGAGATTGCTCTAATGCAATGAAGTGGCTCAGTCTTTGCATAGAATATACAACTGCTGTCCACGCAGCTGATGAAGCATTTCCATTTGGATTCCCTTGGTCATATGTTATCTCCTCAAAGCATACTTAGCTAAGGAATTGATATTTTTATTGCCACAAGGGGCATACATTGAAAAGGATCAAAAGTCTTTATTAATGATTAGAAGGAGGTTTGTTATAACCTTATAGCTCCTTAAAGGGCTATTGGTGACTGATGAAAATGTCAAACAAAAATGGGTGTAGTGAAGGGTGAAGAAAAAATAAAATATTACAGAAAATATCCTACTGGAAGAATCTATTATATGCTACTATTATTGAAAATATGGCCCAAAGGACAGCAGATTTTTCTCCCCTTTGTTCTTCATTCTGTAGCACAAGAAATAGAGTAAAACAGTGTTCCTAGTTTGCGAACCAAATACTCTTTCTTGACTTCCCTTTGCAGTAATCAGTTCCTGTGCAAGCTCTTCAGGAAAGGTCATTTCTCTAATGTGGAAAATATTGCACAGACAAGTCTCAGGTAATTTGTTTATAACCTATCAACCACGGGGACTTTGCAGTCAAGTCTGCCCCACTGTATTAAGGCCTAAGTGAAATAATACGTATTTTATTAAAAAGCACATCTTAATTATAAGGATTATTTTATTTGGTTTTGGAAATTGCTTCAACATAAAACTGTCACTTTTCAATCAAAATAATATTTTTAGGTATACATTAGAAATATTTTCTTTGGCATCATGAATTTTTAATTATATTTATTCATTTTTCCATGCATTTGTAACAATTTCATTTACATAAAAGGTAGTTTATTTTGTGGAGGCTGTGAGATGGATGATGATTACTCATTAATTCAGAGAAGAACCCTGTGGGGTTTTATAGTTATTGATTTTCCAACACGGAAAATTATTTTGATATTTTATTGCTGCCTATCTTTCCTATTTGTGAAACACATATCTGTTGATTACATATGTCTGTGAATGTGTATGGATGTGTGCAAGCTTAAATTATATTTCACTGATATTTAAAAGTAAAACACTCTGCTTTATGCCCCCCAGAGAGATGTTCCAAAGTCAGGGGAATCTGAAATCCATATTAATTTTCTGGGCTTATGTAGGCTTTTAAAAAATTTTATTAATGTTTTCCTTTTTTTCCTTTTTAGCTTCTTCTTGAGATATAGGTACTGCCTTAAAACTGACTAATGTCCGGCCTTAGCTGGAATGGCTAATTTCAAATATCCAATATAAACAAAGCCAAAAGAAAATCTCTACTTCTTCATTTCAGATATGAATGTTTTAAATTACCAGGCAAAATCAGGAAATTGGAAATCATCAATTAAAAGCATATTACTTCTCAAGAGAAAGTTTTAATTTACAGAAAATACTGTCTTGCCCTTACAGTGTATTAGCTTATTGCGGACCATTAGCTCCAGCAAAACATCTTTTGAAGACAGAGCACTGAATGCATTGTCCAGGTAAAATTTATTATTTTAAAGACTGTGTTAGCTTTGGGCAGATAAATATCTTTGAAAACAATTAATTAAAATCACTAAATTCTGTGTGGGTGTGTATTAAACTGTAGTGTTTAATCAACTTAATGTTTTTACTTCCAGCAATTTTCCCCTCTATTTTATACACACTAGAATGTATTTTGCATGCTCATATCAGTTTTTTACCCCTAACACATCTCACTAATGTTTGTAAGATGGTTCACTTGTTAAAGATAGACCATCATCATCACAGTCATATTCTCTCCTATAATGATTTATAATTAAACTTTAAGAAAAGGAATTTTTATCAACATGGATAAAAAGAAGCATTTCCTATATTGTGAATTACTTTGAGGGAGGGTGACAATATGTTATATTCACTGCTGTATCCCAAATGCATAATAGTTTGGGTCTCATCGAAGACACCTGATAAATATTTGTTGAATAAAGTAATGTGTTATTCAAGCGCTAGATACATGTGCCATGATGTCGTTGAATATCAGACATCTTGCCTGGCAGTTAGTCCTGGTTCTGTCATTAACCACATGCATGACCTTGGGACAGAGCTTAAACTCTACCTAGAAAATGAACGGGCTAGACTAGAATTTGCCGATTCTTTAAAATTCTAGGCACTGTTAAAGGATGTAAAAAGAATAATCAGAGTGATCATGCTTCTGAATTAAACTGATTTACCTAAGTTACGGTTATTGTGTCCAAAGATTATTCCTTAGATATAAATATCTGATTTATCCTAAGGAGGCATGTTTGTAGAGAAATTGAACTCCCTAACCTAGGCCTAGGTTTTTATAGATTTGAATACAAAGAGAGTTGCTACTTTTATCTAAGTATTGAATGTTAACCTAGGTAGCTAAATAAACGGCAATGTGAAATTTAATAAAATAAGTTCTCCATTCAGTAATCTTTTGGCTAAGATAAAAGAAGATAAGCATACCATTGGTCCAGGACTAACTCCTTTTCCATCAAACTGAGCAGCAAAGTTCTAGATGGAAGAAAAAAATACATATATATATAATTACCAGCTGTGTAGTTCATTTTCTCATACTTCTAAAAATTTTTCTGTTGTTTAAAAGGTAATAATATTTTTGACAATTATTAGTTTAGAGCTAAATTTGTAAAAATTCAGGAGAAATACAAGTTCAGAATTTAGTCCACACCTAATTTGAAATAGGGAGCTTCCTTACCTTATTTTTGAAACTTTTCCTGCCTTGTTAACCTTCTCACTCAAATCCCCACCCCCTTCCTGTACACTGAGGAAGGCAGCTTTCTAAACTTTGAAAGTCAGTGAGGGTCCCTGATAAATTAAGCAGTGATCAAGAACTTTGCCTTTCTACCTGTTGCCCTCCTCCTCCAGAACTCCACAAAATGACTGAAGCCTTTTTCTTGCTGGAGTTTCAAAAAGGATATAAAGAGTTTTCAAGTTTAGAAGAAAATTAAATTAAAATGCCCCTTGGAAGATTGAACTTTTAAAAAATAGTTCAGAGTAATAGCTTTACTGTTAAAGATCTCTCTTATAGTGGTACATCTATTAAAGAAGGTGCTTTTTAATGCACTCAGTAGATAAGCAATCATAATAAGATCTTTGGGGAAGAAAGGTCTTATTTTACTGGCATACAGTTGGGTATTAGAATCGAGCTTCTGATTCATAGTGCTAACCAATTAAGCAAATATGTTTTCCTTCCTGCAGTGAGGCCATTTGGCACTCATACCATTGTTAAAGACATAAAGCTAAAAGGAGATATTAATGAAAAAGGGAAATGTACTTTTCTCAAATTAGTTTCAAGCAAATTAAACCAAAAACTGCTTTGAATGTTGGTTCAGCAGACTTCAAGCCAAAGAGAATAAAAAGAGTAGGATGTTTGTGAAATTGCTTAAGATCAGGGATTTCGTTTATAATTCAATCTAATCAAACTCTTTAATAATGCAACACCTTTTATTTGTGCCCTACTGATAAAAGATTTTAAATCCCCAAATTAAATAATGGTTGTGAGGGCTGCAGCTACCCTCAGTGAACACAAAGACCTGTCCTGTAATTGACAAGGGCTCACAGAGAGATCCGGCGAAGCAGAATCTCAAATGAAGAAACCAAAGAAATGAAATAAAATACTATACAAATATCTAAATAGCAGACTCTACCTTAAAAGCACTAAAAATAAATTCCACAATGGGTCTTCTTCCAACAGAGGTATGAGAAACTGAAGTTAGCTAAAAGTTAGCAACACTTAAGAAACCTTACCCCGCCGAGACCAGGGGGGCCAGGAGGACCAGGTGGACCAGGAGGGCCTGGAATACCATCATCACCATCTCTGCCTGGTGGGCCTGGTGGACCCTGTTATGTGAAAAGTGAGTTAGGTCAGGGTTAGACAGACTCCTTAGAAACCTATACTTCAAAAAAGAGATCTCAAAATACATATTGTAAGATCAGTTGATCAGAATGTGCAAGAGGTGTTGACGATTTAAAATACCATATTTGTCACTACTGATATGGGTCTATTTTAGAAGGATGTTTAGTAACTGATGTCCAAAGAAGACACAGGGTACTTCCTCCTGGAAGAGGAATATCTCAGCCATTGAATATTAATTCATAATGGAGGTCCACTATTCAAATAAAGATAAAAATTATAGCTAAAATTTATAGCTGTAAATTCATATTGTTAATAGTACACAGTTATGTACTACTATGTATATTGGTTGTCAGTTTCTGACTGTGATGGACTTACTCTATTGTTATGGTATGTTATGTGTGAAAAGTAGATTAATCAATATGATAATTAATAGTCATTTTATCACAGGGTAGAAAATCCTGTAGCTTTCCTACCATTAACACTATTTATGTTGTTAAAGTCATTTACTGACATAATCCTACCTCTAATAGATTGCTTGAGTGGGATACATTTAAGTCTGCACTTCTCGATAGATATAAGGTATAGATATTTATACAGAGGTGAAAGTGTCATATAACAAAAAACCATAAGGTTACACATGCCCCCACTGGCATAGCAGAGAGATCTAAGAATATTGTGCATAAAATGTAAGCCTTATTGTACACTTATGAATTTAGACAGAAACATATTGTTGATTGCTGTTTCATTATTATTCCCAGCCTACATAGAGACCTTACGTGAAAAGCAAACAAAACATGTTAAAAAGAGAAAGACCATTTGGTGGTAGGTAGATACACTGGACAGGGCAACTAAAAACAAAGAAAGATAGACTTGTTACACAAAGAATATGGCTATCTGTAATAGTCCTGCTTTTTTAAAGGATAATCTTGACCTAAAAAGAACATTGATTATATATAATAATGCTCATTCACTTCTTCTGTAAGGCATCATCTGCTTAAAAGGTAGGCAATTATCTGGATACATAATATTCTTATAAATTGTCAGTCTCCTGTAGTTTCTAATATGTAGCTATTTAAATATGGGCCAAAGCCCTTTAATAGTTCAAAAATTACAAACCCTTTCTCCACGTGGTCCTCTATCTCCAGTTGGGCCCTAGAAGAAAGATACAAACAGCATAATAATAAACATCTAGGCAATTTCCAGTGAATGAGCAAAGCATTCTTGATAATGATTAGTTGGTAAGACTGATCTAACCCTAATGTTATTAGATAGTAGCTAAAAAATGGCATAATACAATAGATAAAAGTATTTTGTTTTTATTATTATTACATGTACTTTTTTAAAACTGAGAGACTGGAGGCTATAGTCTCCAGCATTAGGCCAATGTTATAATCACTATTTTTAGAAAGATGATTTCTGTGGATAAAATTATCATTTTGTAACATCGATAACAGCATATTTATATAGTCAAAGCCCCTTAAAATAAACTTCTGTTTACTACCTATAATTAGCATAATACTCATTCCATCTCCAGAATAAAAACAAGTCTTTTTCCCTTTAGTATGTAAATCACCAGTTCTATAACATAAGTATAATTAGAGATGATTCCGAAAGATGATAAAGCTTTGTTATCTTAAAACATCAAAGCTACTTTATGTTATGGTTTAGCTAATGCATATTCATGTGGGCAAAATCTTGACAAAGTGTTTTCCTTCTGCAGTCTACTAATAAATTTAGTCAAATGGTAAGCTATCTCTGATCATTTAAGGTATTATGGAGAAGTATTCGACTCTTACCTTTCTTGCAGTTGCCTAGAAAAGAATAAATAAAAGATTATTATGAGGAAAATTGTACATGTATATTTAAAGATGGCTCCCATTTCCATGTAGTATACAAACATACCTACAGAGTATATATATTGTGTATTACTATTATCTTAATATTTTAAAGTATAATTTTAAATTTTACCAAAAAATTAAATAAAATATATACAGAACCCAAATATATACTTATCTGTAATTATGCCTCCAATTCAATTCACGAGCTAAGAATTTATTCATAATACTCTTGCAAATGATTCCGAGGGGGTGACAAGATTCTCTAGCTCGGTGAAGCCTTCTGCTTCATAGTAGCTGATGCTAAAACCCAAGCTTCCCCTGGATTATTTACTCTCTTTTCTTATGGGTGTTCTTTTTAGGGTGGTCTTATTCAGTAGCCCCACCCCTTTTGGAAATTGGGGTGGATACTTTCTAAGGCAGCCAGAAAGGTTTGACTACCATTACTTTTGGTGATTTTTTTTTTTTTTTGGAAATTCACTTTGGTCAATACCAATGTAGCTTCCCTTTCCTTCCTCAGAGAAGACATTGCTTTGGCCATGGCAATAAAAGTCTGAAATAACAAATTTTAAAAATAATTTTACTTACGTCTTGTAAAGCTGTAGAGGAAAGGGGAAAGAAAGAAATAATTATTAATATTATTTCATTGATCACTAGCAGTGATTAACAAATGGGTGTATTAGTCTATAAAATTGACTTACCTAATTAAAGGACAAATTGTATTTTTCATTAAGAATATTCTAATGACTTGGAAATTATGCAGGTCAGAATTATGGCAGGGATCAGCAGGGTGATTTGTTTTTAATATTAATATGTAAGTATATTTTGAATTAAATTGTTAATTATTTACTATTTTATAAATGCTGTGAAATATTAATGTGTCTAAAGGATATTTCTAATGCTTGGTGATTAAGCTGGTAAATTGCACAGGTGAATTACTGAATGTAAGCAAAACCAGTAGATTGATGAGGAAATAATTTATAGTTTAGATAACTTTTGATATATAAAAATTTGAAAAGGGAAAAATTCAGGGAAGTACATTACCTAAAGTAGACTTTGCTTTCTATAAAACATTAAAGTTACTTAGTACTTCACTGAGTTTGTACCATTCTTAATGTCCTTTTTCAAAAGGTCTAATTTGCAAATTAGTCACTATGGAAATGAATTCATTTGGACATCTAAAATTTTGCTTTAAATAGTTTCACTTAAGTTAGGTAAGGTCGTTTTACCAATATGTATCACTTTTGTCCCCAGGAAAGAATTGCTCTGTGTAAATGGAAAAACTGTGGATTAAAGATCTAGGAAAAATAATGGGAAAAATAAACTAAAGTAATATCCTCCCCCTTTGCCATAATTGCTGTAAGTCCTTAAAGACTGAATTCCTCTCCTATGGTATAAAAATTATAGGTTAGCACGGGAAGTAAGTGTGGCCAACCTGGCAACAAGATGAATCACCGCTAAAAATTGCTTTAATTAGGTGGCCAAGAAGTGTGTCATTTGGAGGGAGAACATCTGTTTCAACAGTCAGGATTCAGGAGGGTGGACCACATCCAGCACTGACATTTAAGGGCAATTTATGAGAATTACTTTTAAATTAGGAAAATGATATGTTTACTTCATTGTGTCCATCAGTAGGAAAAATAATTATACCTGGATTTGATTAACGGAAGTCCTTATGATTTTGGAAATTTGCCTTTTGATTATTCAGACTGAGCCATTTTGAACAATGTGTTTGGTAACTTTTATTCCAGACTGTGGTTGGTTGTTGACCAGAAGGTGAATTGCCCTTCGTACCTTCAAACTTCCATAGGTCTATTTTCATCTTTTCTCTAGGAGCCAACTCTTTTCCCCCTACTTTCAGATCTCATAAAAAATGAACTTGGTAATGTGAATTTGTTCAATGTAATTATTCCTCACTGTTTTACAGTGTGTATACTAAAAGTGGATGAAGGGAGAAAGTACACACATGCAGATACATCAGTGATGATGCAATGGTAGACACCGTGGCATGTGGGTGGGGCAAACGTTTTGGAGTGTTGGGTGTGGCCAGACACCCCCTCTTACTTCCTCTAGTCAATATCTTTGTCTAGTAATTAGGCCGCCATTTTCAAGACAAAAACGGACTGATTTTCTTCTTTCTGTCTCGACAAGAAGTCTGGTCATAAAACCTACAGCTGGAAAGCAGGTTTGGAGCCCATCTAATCTCTATCTTGCGTTTTAGAAAAGGCTCAGTTTGACTGGCTCAAGGTCACACGATAAATTATTGCCAAAGTCATGGGAAAAACCTAGGTCTCGTTGAGTGTCAGATCAGTGTTGAAATTTCCCAACTTTCTGTTTTCAGAATGTCTGACTGCCGTTGGGAGCATGTTAAAGAAGTAACTCTGAGGCTCAACACGAGGCAGAGCAGATTTTAGCTAAATAATGTTACCATTTCCATGATCAGATAAAGAATTGAGAAGTTAATTTTACTTTTCGGAATGTATCCATTTGCCTTCCCAGAATACTCTGATTAGCTATTGGGAATGGCTTCAATAAGATATGCAGATCATTCTCTGTTTAAACCTGTAGAGTCTTTTTAATGGGGATTCCATTAACCCTAAGGCCTGGTCCCCTGTGCTTTCATTGACCTCCCTCCAGAGGGCGCCCCGTGGTCATCATCATCCAGACTCGTTTTACAACGCCCAGAAAAGTCTTTAGGGGTGAATTTTTTATTACTAAATTAAAGGGCTTTCTCGACCAGGCCTCAAGTTTCACAAGACTGGCATCAGTGCAGTTATGGGGCCTTTTAGGTGTAGTCCTTGCCCGCCTTCATCACATCTATTAATATCTCATCTTTAGGGAAAAGACTTTATGCTCCCTTGGAGCTTCACTAATGGGAGGATCCAGATCAAGTTAACGGTCTCACTCTTGAGTTAAGGGAAAAAACGTTCCCTAACTTTTGGCGAGAGTCAAGCCTTTTTTGTTTTCATTTCTTAAGTATTTCCCATGTTTCTCATTAATGCCAGCGTCTCTCCACATGCCTGAGAGCCTTCCCTCCAAGCTGTACCTAGAACTTTGTTCAAGTTTTCCTTTCAGACCAGGCTGCCCACCCATCTAACCTCTTTCCCAGACTGCCCCAAACAAGCTGAAGGCACTTACATTGGCATGTTGCTAGGCACGAAGTTACTGCAAGCAGCAACAAAGTCCGCGTATCCACAAAGCTGAGCATGTCTACCACTTAGACATGCAGACTCCTTGTGTCGCAGAGCCCCTGGGTCACCGGCGGAGGTATCACCTGGCGGGCGCAGGCATGCAGTCGTGGCCAGTACCTCCAACTCAGCCGAAACCTCCTGCCGCCTTGGTGCTAAAATAATAAAGCCCGGATCTGCCCTATTTATATGGCCAAAGTTTCGCTGGCCCGAGGGTGCCTCCAAAAGCGCTTCCACCAATGGGAGGGCTGGGGCTGGGGGCCCGGGCAGCCACAGCTGGGAGGAGACTGCGGGGGCGCAGAGGAGGGAGCGAAGGGGGGAGGGACGTGGCCACGGGGCTGGCTTCTTAAATTGGTTCCATTCTTTTTGAGGACGTGGACACTTTTGAGGCTTTCAAGGGGAAACTCTGACTCGCTGTCTGCATACCTCCGCCCTCCCCATCCCCCCGGTCCCCGCCCGCCCTTTCCAAGTTTGGAAACACTTTTGGACACGTGGGAGAGCTCTGCTGACAACGACGTGGGCAGAGTTTGCAGATCTCTGGGCAGCCGGGCAGCTGGAGAGGGTACAGGAGCCCAGAGATCAAAGCAGGAGCTGTCCAGCCCTGCCTACCTTGTGCCCTGCGGGCTACTGGCAGGATGGAGGGCTCGGCGGCCCGGAGGGGGCTGGGGACTAGAGAGAGAGGATCCGACAGCGTGGCGCAGCCGGAGGCTGCACTCCCTCCGCCCCCTCTACCCCGCCCCCCGCCCAGTTTTTCTCCAGGTTTAGGGCGTGTGTGAGCCCACTTTTTCAGCAGTAACGCTCCCTCTCTCTTCTGGCTCCAGGAGAGGGCAAGAGGGGGGTTCTATCTGTGGAAGGTTGGAGTCCGAGAACGCCTACTTTGGGGAGGATGGGAAGGGGAGCCGGCTTGGGGCGGCGCTGCATCCAGCACCAGGGAGGATGTGCTTTGTGCACTCCTGGCTAGACCAAACCATCGGGGAAATTCTGCGACCTCCTCGCTTCTCTCTGCTGAGGCTGATTCTAAACCAAGGCTCTGGGGATTATCTGGCCCTGCGAAGTGACTGCAACTGACTGACCTGGACACCTCTCTTACTCGGCCTGTCTCTCCTTTTCGAGGTTGCGGTGGAAAATCTGCCCCTTCCCCTTCTCCACAGATTCCTTGTCTGGATATTACCAGCTCCATCCTGAGCCTGGACTCAGATAAGCCTCAGCAAGCTCTCCCAATCCTTCTTGCAGTCGCTGCCCATTCACTGACCCCACTCTAACAGGCAACGTCCAAGCACCTCCCAGCTCTCTCCACACATACCTTGGGGAAAACGCTTAGCCCAACCAAGGCTAATTGGAGTTTGGGATACAGGCAGTCTTCCCCAGGGAACACCTCAAGCAGAGCTCCCTCCAACATGGATGTTTACTCTCTCCCCAACACCCAACGTCCTTCTCCTGTTGCAGACCCTTCCCACTCTCTGCTCCCCCAGGGAAAAGAGGAGCTGGAACCTTGATCCTGGGGCATTGGAAGTGAGAATCCAGAGCTCCTGAGAATCCAGATTACTGAATACAGTAAACTGCAGTGGATGGCGATGGCCATCTCCCCCAACCCTCTTGAGATGTCATTCCAGGCCCTGAGGAAAGGCCATGGTCTAGGGGTGCGCCTCTGCTTGTCCAGCACACCCGATGGGCAGCCATTCTCTCCCAGAAGTCAAGGCAAAAGGAGCATCTTGAGGTCAATCTCATCTCCACCACACAGAAATGAGTGGGCTGTTGTTCCCTGTTAATCTTTTTTCCTTTCTTTTCCCCTGTCTCTTCCCATCTTTTTTTTTTTAAACCCCCTGTACTTTAAGGAAGAATTTCTGCTTAAGTTAACTCTATCAGCAGCTGCCATAAACCGAAGAGACTGCATATTCTTAAACTGGTTGCTTCCTCTAACAAACAAACAAACAAAGTTAATAGAAGTAAAAGAGAACAACCAAAAACTATAATAAACTCTTCTTCTATTCTAATTAAGAGCATTGACTTGGGAGATAACTTCGGAAGATATTTAAAAAATAATTTGGAGTGAAGGAATTAGAAGGAGTGTCTGGTCAGTTCTTCGAGGGTGTTGGCCAGGAGGAATCTACAGTCAAACCTGGTAGTCTAAACTAGGACATATTGGGAAATGTGATTGTAATTTCCCTTTTAGCATGACAAAATGCCCAGCTAGTTTTTGAGAATTAGAGAAATTTAAGCACATATTTCTAAACTAGAGGAAAAATATCTCTGCAGAGTAAACTGATAACTGGAAAAGCATTCCTGGAAACTGATGCAAATACCAAATGCTGCCGGGCTCCCTCCCTGCTGATGTGGCAGGGTTTGAAGCTGGCAGTCGTCAGCTTTTGGTGGGAGGCCCTGAATCTAGAGGAAACAACGAAAAATGGAGAAAACTTAAGGAGAATTTTTCTTTTTTAAGCAGGAGACAGACTTTAGTTTTAGCAGTTCTTACACATTATTTTGACTCTCTCTTTCTCTTACTTGTCACTTAGTGGGGAAGTTAGTTAAATGTGTCTTTGGAGGAGTTCTTTAAAGCTTACATTTAGATCTCTGTTAAATATTTTGTGCCTCCAAACAGAAGTTTTGTGAGTGGATGGGGTGGGGCTTGGTAGAGAGCTGACCCAAAGCCTAAACTGACTGTTCTGGTGATAACTGTGATGGTGTGTGTGAGTGTAAGGGAAGCCTCAGTGACTGCATGTCGGTCCATGAGTAGGAGGGAAAGGAGTAAGGAAGCAGAGTAGGGTAGAAGTTGAGAGTGGAGAGTGGAAGAAGAGAGGCAGAGATCAAGGATCTCTACATTTTGCTGTTAGACAGTTAACACCTGGGTTCCTATTTCTAAATAATTCTCTGTTGAGAAAAAGATGATCACTTCTTCTCCCTGCAACCCACAGATTACCAACTGGGCCACACCTTAAAGTATGGCAAGAGAAGGGTTGAGAACCCTACTGGTAATAAATGCAGACCAACCTAAGACCATGCCGTTTTATGCTTTATTCCTCCATTTTCTTTGATCAGAGTAAGCATCTGACTGACATCTCCTTTCAAACATTTTGAGGATCCACTCTGTGGAAAGCACCAATACTACACCATCTTATTCTAGTTCTAGTTGTTTTTTTGTTTGCCAGGAAGGTATTAGCTGATAATTAAGGCGGTAGCTGAAAAGATCTGAGGGCTGATTTCTCTCTGTGAGATTTGTTTGGAAGGCATGGGGATTCCTACCCTGCATCGTATCAGTTGGGTTATTCAGTTCTCGCTGATTATTTAAATAAGACCAGATGAATATTCACTTAATTATTTGTTAGTGTGCCAGCTACTGGGAGCATGTAGTAATCTTCCAGTTAGTTAATGTGACATCATGGCTACCTATTTTGTAGTATGTTAAGTACTTTGCTAGGAATTTTAAATAAATTATCTCAAACCTACAAAAGTCATTATCTAAATCTTGGTGGGGTATACTTTATGATTCCCAAGTTTATAAGTTTAAAAAAATGAGGCTTAGAGAGGTGAGATGACTTGTCTAAAGCTTCCTAGATATGCTAGAATGGGTCAAATATATATCTGGGTTTCGGTCTGTTGCTTGTTGCATATTTTCAAAATGTGTTGTACTTCTAATATCTATCACAATGATAATTGATTGTTTAAAGGAGTTAATTGTTCATTGACTGGCTTCACATGAATGTGAAGTCTTTAATGGCAGAGACAATGCCGATTTTATTCACACTTCCAACCCTATATCCTAGTAGAGTGCCTGCTGAGTAGTAGATGCTCAACAAATACTTACTCCATGAACAAAGAGTGATTTGGCATGACATAACTGGAGAACATGAGACTTCAATGCAAATTCTGTTTGTTTTCTTCACTGATGGTTACCATTTAACCCACACATTTAAATTTTTCTTTTCATTGATAGGTAAGAGTGACAATCAACACAAGAAATTTACTTGAATAATACATAAATATATTTTAACCAACTCACCTAACAGTAGTACCTAATTATTCCTTCACATCTCATGAAAATTTTATTTTTTTGTCAAATTTATGAAGGACAAAGTGATTGAAGAAAAAGCTAATTTTATTAATTATAAAGTCACAAAATTTTAGAGTTCGAAGACAATTTAGATATCAGCCAAATCATAATCATAATTACAGTGTGTGAAATCAGGAATTGCTTTTCTACCATATTTATGATGTCTGGCAAATGTCAGGGACACAGCAGGTGTTCAGTAAGTTTTATTGCATGAATTAATACATATTATAAATGAGAAAACATGCCTAAAGAAGTTATGGGACTGGCTAGCTTATGGTAGACCTGTAACCAGGGGTCTCCTGATTCCTAGTCTCCTGCTCTTTTCTTTAAATTAAAATAACATCCAGCATGTGTCTGAAATATTTTGCAATGTTTAGCCTTTTCAGCAGTCTCAAGATTAGTTATTATCTTCCAGAAGGTAAATTGAGGTTCAACAAAGTTAAAGCTATTCTCCAGATCAGTGGTTCTCAGAGTGTGGTCCCTGGACTAATAATACTAGCATCACCTTCAAACTTGTTAGAAGTACAAATTGCATGCCCATCTCAGACCAGCTAAATCAGAAACTCGGGATGTGGGTTAGCAACAGTCTGTGCTTCAACAGCCCTCCAGGTGATGTAGTATTGAGGAAGAATGTGACTGTAATGGTCAAGCTTGAATTGGATAGATCTAAATCTGATAGCACAGAGAACAGATGTGATCATGACAGGATAGAAAAGTGGGAAAGTCCAGTTAAGAAAATGTTAACTCCTTTTCTCTATTCTCCTTCACTCCAGAGAGCCCCCTCTACAGCCATATTTGCTCTCTAATATATCTGTTGACTTAGAATGCTTCTTTTCTTGATTCTCCTTGGTTCAAGAGGATGGATAGCTGAACATCCTGAAAGGCTGTTAATTGTTCTTTAGTCCCAGTATTTGTAACATCAAAGGAAGACTGTTTCTATCCCTTTTTTTCCTGATCAAAACTATATTTAAGGCTATGTTGGTAATATAATATTTACAATGGAAAAACGTGTGTTAGGGAATATACCTTAACTCTTTAAGAAAGCTGAGTGTGATTGGCTGAATGGTTAGAACTTGGTGCTGATGAAGTCTGGATTATAGCCTCAGTTCCTCTAAGGACCAATTAACTTCTCCCTGTTACAGTTCCTTGGAATTCACCACTGGGGGGGTGTAATTCCCTGGATAGTTAAATAGTTCAGGTGAGGTAGAAAAGATTCATGATTTACTGCAAATCCACTACTCATTCTAGAAAATGCCCCGCAAAGCCCAGGTGATGTTTTGAAATACCTATTTGTATATTGACATCATAGACATATGCTTCTGTCCCCTGTAGTTCCTTCCCATGTCACATTGTGATTCTTGAATTAAAATGGCATGCCAGACCCTTAAAAAATAAACTTCCCTTACGAAGCACCCAAGAGAGTAAGTAAGAGAATAAATAGAT